CAGGATTAAATGTTCTCATTTCTGAGTTGTGAAGTGTTGAAACTGACCAGGAAGTGGAGGCAGAATATCTGTCCTCTGGGAGAAGAATCAGCCAGTTTCTGTTGCTGCTGCTCTTGGCAGCCGGTTGGAATGCAGCTGTTAAGGCAGCTGTTTAACTGTTTGTCCAACTTGAAAAGAGACTGCCAAGTGGCAAATATTTTTCATAACAACATTTGACTTTTGCTAAGAGCCATACAGTGCATTTTAATAAGCTCCAGCAGCGAGCCCCACATGGCAGATTTATTACTCAGCAGGTTCACGGTCTACACTGAACATGGATGCGCGTTTCCATTTTTAATAATTACAGAAAGAACAAACGGACTCTCAAAGGAAGCCTCCACATAGACCTGTAGMTGCTAAGACCTGTAGATGTCCCTTTTATTGCTACACAAAACATCTCCACAGCTTAAATTGTTAAAACAGCAGCAGATTATCTGGAAAAAATGAAATATCTCTGAAAGGAAAAATGAAAATCTAGGAAGGTCAAAAAGGAAAAAAGGTTTAAATATTTTAAATCTTGGACACATGAATTAACAGTGACTTTATTCCTCCTTGTGGAGGGCAGGTAGAGACAGAAACACATCATCTACTGAATCCCCTGCAATACATGGGTCTCTGGACTTGTGGGTCATTGTAAATTAGAATCTGGACACCAAGTACTTAAAAGTTACGTTGAATTTGTCTTGACTGTAAACCAGATGGGAGTGGGGTGGAAATTATCCACTATTTTTATTCAGTGGTAAAATCAGGAAGTCGAATATAGACAGCCAAAATGAAGAAAACACATTTAATGCACAAGTATAATTTTCTTCCAAACCCAAATATGCATGGATCATGATCRTGCTGTTTTTGTTTTTGGACTGGGGATTGAACCCGGTGGCGCTCTACCTCTGAGCCATATCCCCAGTCCTATTTTGTATTTTATTTAGACACAGGGTCTCACTGAGTTATTAGGGCCTCGCTAAGTTGCTGAGGCTGGCTTTGAACCCCTAATCCTCCTGCCTCAGCCTCCCCAGTCACTGGGATTTCAGGCATGCACCACTGCATCAAGCTTCATGATCATGTTAAACAGTTCTCCATCCTTGGTATATTTTGCATAGCCAGAAGCTCATGTCTTCAAACAAATAATAATAATAAAACCTATGGATAAACACTTTAGCTATGTGGAGAGAATATTGTACATACCCATGTTCCAGTTGAAGCAGGTTAGATGTCAGCAATAACTGCCATTCATAGTATTTAGAATATAATCTCCACAAATCTTTGAGAACCCGAAGGTGGGGCAAGAGGCACACATTCTCACCTGATAAACCCCCACAGTCAAAACTGGAACAGAGACCATTTTTAAAATTCACAGAATTTATTTATACTGAAKCGAGGAATTTCATGTCCACATACATATACCCACATATAGGTAAATATATAGGAAAACATATTAATATGAGGACATTAACATAATTAGATCATATCCAGTGATTTCATGGTGTTACTATTTTTTTTTAATTTTTTGTAGCTGTTGATGGACAGCATCCCTTTATGTGGTRCTGAGGATCGAACCCAGTACCTTCCACATCCAAGCAAGCACTCTGCCACTGAGCTACAGCCCCAGCCTCATGGTGTTACTATTAATTTCCTTGTAATTTTTGTATATTTTAAATGGTCAAAGAGGGAAAAACACATTTAAAGGAAGAACACTAAGCATTATGGATCTGTCCTTATCRATTTAATTCATTCCTTTATCAATGGATGCTGAGCTAGTTTTCAGTTCAAATCCTCAGAAACTGGAGGAAAAAAAAGGCTCACTCTGTTTCATTGGTGGTACTGGGGTCCAAACAAGGGCTCCATACATGCCAGGCAAGTGCTCTACCACTGAACTCTACCGTGCTACAACCCCAGACACCCCTCCCTCCCCTACCCTTTTGTGAGATAGGATCTTGCCCAGTTGCCCAGAACAGCTTTGAATTTGCCAAGAACTTGAGATCCTCCTGCTGCAGCCTCCYGAGGAAGCCAGAATTAAAGATAGGCAGTCAGTGTAGATAGGTAATCGGGTCAGGTAGAGAGAATGGAGGCCAATTTGGAGACCATCCCTGAGGGATTGAAATGTTAATGTCTTCAGAGACCTTCCTCCACTCTCATCAAGATAACCTGCCCCTGGGAGCAGGGGTTGTGGCTCAGTGGGAGAGCATTGGCCTAGCCCAAGTGAAGCACTGGGTTTGATCCTCAGCTTCACATAAAAAGAACTAAATAAAAATAAAGTTATGTGTCCACCTACAACTAAAAAATCATTAGGAAAAAAAAAAAAAAAGATAACCTGCCCCTGCCCCAACCTGTTGCTAAGGTAACCTGTCCCAGGAATTGTCCCTCCCTACAGGGAGTAATAAAAGTTGTTAATTATTGTCTCGGGGCTCCTTCCTGCCTGGWTGACTCCATTGGCTCTTCTCCCTGCCCATCTGCTTCTCACCTTTTGGCCATCCCACAAGGGCYATCTCCTGAGCTTAGTCACATATGCAGGAAAGAAAGAGATAAGGTGTAGGGGGGAGGCAAAAGAACAAAGAAATCTAGGATGCATAAAAGGGGCAAGACATYTTCACTTCATGGGATACCAGGATACAACCATGGCTCCCTTCTCCCTTCCAGGAGAGGTGTGTGTTACTCCTTTTAAAGCAAACCCTGCTTTATATGCTTGACTCAGTGTGCTTGAGGGAGCAGAACTCGGCAAGGATAACCGGTGGTATCACCCAGTAGTCTGGATCAGGAGTGCACCACCACTCCCAGAAAAACAGCACCAGGAAATACAGGATTCCTTCATTTTCTACACATCACACTAATTTCAGTTGCCTCAGTGCCTTGCCAGAMGGGAAGAAATGCTAATGGTACCTTTTGTAGCTCTGTTCTCTTTGCCTTTGCCTGGGCTCTGTTAGAGTTTGTGGATTTTTCAGACTGAAAGATGCTTTTTTTCCGCAGGATTCAGGTGACATGTCCCCTGCCTGGTGCGTTTGGTAATTCCAGAGGCAGTACGGGACTTTGGGTACCATTGGGTAAAGAAGATAACCTCTTCACACAGGGCATGACCTCTATTTGGGTCCCCAATCATCTTGTCCTTCCCCTGCATTGGTCTCATTTAAAATAGGAAGTCCTCGTTGTTCATTGTCATTATATGATACCAATTCAGCAGACAATTTTTTTGTTGTTGTTATACCATTGTAGTCATACATAGTAGTTGGGTTTATTTTGACAAAATCATACATGCATGTAATTTGATTTACTCCCTTTTCTTACCTACTCCCTTCCCCAACCCCCCACTATTTTCCTTCTTCTATTTTATTGATCTTCCTTTCACTCATTTATTTATTTTTAATTTGGTAGCATCTCCCTTATTTTATTGATCTTCCTTTCACTCATTTATTTATTTTTAATTTGGTAGCATCTCCCTTATTGATTCTTGTTTTATTTCTTGAGCTTTAGGGATCTTGTTGAAGAAGTCAGTGCCTGCAACCAATCTTATGGAGTGTTGACCCTATATTTTCTTCTAACAGTTGCCAATTTTTAGAGGGTAATCTTGGTGAGTGGAGAGTCTAACCTACTTTTTTCCTACTATTTACAGTATATACATAAAGGTGGAATTCCCTGTGATATCTTTATATATGCACACAATGCRATTTTATTAAATTCAATTGCATTTCCTCCTCTTTCCTATCCTTCCTCCCTCTCAATTTCCTTTTTCCACTCCATTGATCTTCCCTATATCTTCATGACATCTGATCCCTGCTCTTTTTTCCCTTATTTTGCTCTAGCTCCCATGGGAGGGAAAACATTTGACCCTTGATTTTTTGAATCTGCTTATTTTATTTAGCATGATGTTCTCCATTTCCAACCATTTATCAGTATTAAGTTTTTTGAGTTCTCTGGATATTCTGGATATTAATCCCCTGTCAGAGCAGTAACTGGTAAAAAAAAAAAAATTTCTTCTGTTTTGTAGGTTCTGTCTTCATGCTGAAGCTGGGGAACAAATGGCCGTCAATATAGTTAATAAAYAGTTGGGTTRGATGGGGAAGATGGGGGCTGGTTGGAAAGGAAAGAAAAGAAAATCCAAAGCTGACATTTCCAAAGCCCTTTCCCCTCCACCCATTACCAAGGTGACCTGCCTATGGGGAACAGTTCCTCCCAAAGAGCTGTTAACAAGCATCTCCAGGGCTGCCTGTTTGAGCAGATGTAGAAAGTTACACCTGGAGGGCTTCCTTCTCACCTTTTGGCTCATCTCCTGACCACTGGTCACGTAAGCAAGATGGGGAGAAGAGAAAAGCAAGATAAGGGGGGGAAAGGGCATGAGAACAAAGAAAATCTAAGATGTATAAAAGCTGGTATCCATCTTTGGATACCAGCTCTGGACCCCTTCTCTGGGAAGAAGTCTGTCTCTGTTCTATCCTTCAAATAAAACTTGCCTTCTGTGCCTATCTCGGAGTCTCCAGTGTTCCATTGTCACGTCTGGGGAAATGGAACTTGGCCCTGATTGGTTCTCATCACTGGTGGTACCAATGCTCTCAATCACTTCCTTTGCTGTGCAGAAACTTTTTAATTTGGTAGCATCTCCCTTATTGATTCGTGTTTTATTTCTTGAGCTTTAGGGATCTTGTTGAAGAAGTCAGTGCCTGCAACCAATCCTATGGAGTGTTGACCCTATGTTTTCTCCTAACAGTTGCCAATTTTAAGCAGGTGATTTTGGTGAGTGGTGAGTCCAACCTGCTTTTTCTCTACTATTTACATAATGGTAATAAATTATAAATAACAACAGTCTAACCCGAATGTTCCTTCAAATTGCAAAAGCATGTTTTTTAATGAAGTTGACATTATTTCTTGGAGACAGATAAAGTCCCACGGGCTGGATAATGGTTGCTGGGGAAGTCAGCCACAAGCTTTATGCCTCCTTTTTCAGGGATACGGAAAAAGAGCAAATGCAAAACATGGATGAAATTTATAAGATCACTTCCACGGAGAGGACCCAGCTATTGGAGAAGGAACTGGAGGTGCAATTGAGTGAACTGAAGTCTGAAATAGAAGAACAAGAGATCCTTCAGGGAGCAGCTCATCGAGCTTACAGGTAAATAGTAGGAGTGAGAAAGTGTGGTCCTCAGGGCTTTACCTCCCGCTCTTACCCCATAATCTCCATCAGTCCTCCCCACTCTTTTTTTTTTTTTTTTAACCTGGACAATGGACATGATCTCAAACTCAGACAAATGACGTGCAGCAGCAGTTTCCGCACCCCTTTCTTTCAGCCAAATACTAACCAGGCTCAGACCTGCATAGCTTTTGAGCTCAGGCAGGATCATGAGCATTCAGGGTGGTAGAAACATAGACCAATTGCCCATTTCTAACCTACTGCTCCCCCTAAAGTTTTCCTACATTCTAGATTTGTTAAGACAGGTGGGAACAATCAGTGTCTCACTGAAGAAAGTGGGGAAATGTTCCTACATGTTCAGGAACACTACCATCCTAAAGTTCCAGAAGCTATTGTAGAAATCATACTCCATAAAGAGATTTCATCTTATAACATTTTAACTGAGTTTGATCTTGATTTTGATGAGAAATTTAAAACCTGAAATAATGCTAAATATTTCATAATGAATTCTACAAAATGCTGTTGGATTAGGCGTTCTTTTATAGGGTAAATGTTGYCAATGAGAGCGATCAAATTCTTTTAAACAGGGTAGCCAGATCAGTCTCTAAGTGGAGAGTCTCATGGGCCCTGGATCTTCACATTTTTTTTGTTTCTGTTATAATTCATCAAAAGGAACAACATGAAAACTCTGTTGGTTAGAGTAAGCACAAGGTGGATGGTGAGCAATATGGAGAGGAGATTGGAAGAGACAGTAACCAGGTGAATCAGTGCTTCATTCGAAAGATGATTCTGAAGAACTATTACTTGGTATGTGTTGTGATAGGTCTTTAAAGCTATTGCAGTTGTTAAGAGGAAATGGAAAGATTGTGACCCATGTAAGTCACAATTTCTCTCAAATTTGGTTTATTTATTTGAAAAATGAAATAAAAGAAAAAATATGTACCCAGGGCTGGGGTTGTGGCTCCGTGGTAGAGCACTTGCCTAGCATGTATGAGGCACAGGGTTTGATTTCAGCACTGCATATAAATAAAACATAAATAAATAAAGATCCATCAAAGACTAAAAACATATATTTTAAAAAAGTGTACCTTTCCTCCTTTATTAGGTTGTGAGGATCAAATGACATAATGCATGTTAAAGCATTTTGACAACTAGAAAAAAAACCAAGTTTTTAATATGCAAAAATAAAATGTTGGTATTATTACAACTTACATGTCAAGAGAGTTAGGCAAGTGTAAAGGCTTTGGGAAAGCCCTTTTAGGGCACACTGAAGATGAAATAGCTCCTGAACGTCCTCCTACAGAGACCGGAAAACTTTCTCATGCTGGGGACAGTCACCAAGGAAATTAGACCAAGACTCTCTGGCTAGATAGACACAGCCAAGCTAAATCTACAGATTATATTCCCTGGCTTCCATCCCTCTATGCCCCTCTCTTATAAAAGCTTTCCACACCCTCTATGAGAAAGAAAGTCTTCTCTCTTCTCATCAGTTTCAATGAGAAATCCTGGGTACCCATATTTCTCTACTCCCCCAAACCACCCAGGATTGTTAGTAAGAATCTAACTTAATTCCAGCAAAGACTGAGCACCTTCTCTAGGTGCTCTTTGCCAGGTGCTGTGCTATGTTCCGGAGTCCAAGGAAAATGGAAATATCCACTCCCAATAACTACTCCCAGGGCACTGAAAAAAAATCATCTTTCTTTCTTTTTCTCCACCTTCTCCTTCCTCCCCSACCCCCATTCTTTTCCTCATTTCAACTCATAAGCCCTGGACTTTGCAATGGTTGTGTTTCTTATGTRCTTGCTGATTGAATAAGTTTATGGCTGTATGGTAAATGGACAACGTTTGATGAAAGAAGGCGTGAATCTCTATTTGTGAGTTAGTGTACACATCACTTAGGATCACTAGCTGCTTTTAGGTCACTCCCAGGCACTTTGAGGTTTACTGAGAGGAACGATGTGATCTGAGTGAGAGGGTTGGGCAACCAAGCCTGGGACCCTGCCCAGTCTCCCAGTTTGCCAAAAATGAGGAGACAAGAGGGCCAGAAAGTTTTCTTCTGATTTCCCTGTCGAGTAGCCCATCTCCTTTCTGGTTGGCCACTGCCTCTCCACCTCCTTGAGGCTGTGGCCAAGATGCAAGTTACACCTTTGATTTGTTAACATATTTACTCTCAAGCCCCTTTCAGAGTTTGCTTCTTTCTTTTCCCATCAAAGCCAAGGTACCAGGAGAAAGTTAAGGGAGGCAATGCCCTCAGCTTCAGAGGGAGAAATTTGACACAAAGTGTCTAAATGAGTTTCTTAGGTTCATGCGGTTGACCAATCTCCTGTCAACCTCCTGTTCTTTTCACAGAACCACTTGCTGGCAAGTGTACAAACTAACATGAAGTTTAAAAACTTGTCTGTGGGAGCACCCTTTTGTTGAATCCCCAGTGCTGGAACAACAAACAACTTATCTGTGAGGACAAGTAGGATCGTATGAAGAATAGGAACCTAAATTTCACCGCTTCTACCTCYCTCAAAATTTCTAGGTCATTTCATGTGTTCCAGAACTGCCTGCTGTGGCTCCTTTGCCAATGTCTACAGCATCCCATCTTGAGAAAGTGGCATCTGCATCAGGGTTACTGTCCCCTGGTGTTTCAATGTTGCTAAGCCTTGGGGTGCATCTTAAACCTGATAGGGAGAGCCCTGCTCTTGCTGACCAGACCCCACCTGCTTACCTGGACCTGCAGCTTATGCTGCCTGCATGAGAGTCCCTGATGAGAACAGCTCATCATGGCAGGACTTGACCAGGGTCCATCAGGTTGCACCAGCAGGCATTTCTTCTAAGTCTGCTTATCCTACAGATCAATAGTCTTCCTGAGGCAAAAAACTTGGATACAATAATTCTTAGAGTGTTTCCTGTTTGATATTTAAGGTCACTTCACCCTCAGGTAATTCAGCAAGAACACAAAAGTAAAAAACATTTAAAAAATTTTACAAGATACCAGTGCTATGTGTCAACTAGGGCAAGAGGGAGATTTGATAAAGCTCATTGCTTGTTAGAGATAAAGTTCCTGGAAGAACTAAGGCAGAGATATTCCTGGAGGAAGAAAGGCAGGGGAAATAAAAATTCTTATCATATGTCCCTCTCTGGACTCTGGAGTAAGAAATAGTGAGGCAAATTATGACTAGAAGGACAGACCATGTTTGTGTGGGGGGAAAGGAGAGAGAAATTACCCTGGGGAAAGGGTTAGCCAATATCAGGTCTGTGAGAGAAAGATTCTAAGACACAAGAATGTGGCCTGTACATGCCCTCCATAATCTACTATAATATGATATACTTATTTGAGAATGAGCAGTTGTGAAGAGTTACAGATTAATCAAGGCCCAGCTATAATCTGATTACAACTTCTGTGATTACAGCTCTGTTGCATAAATCTTTCTGCAGCTCTGTTCAAATACCAAAGGACATCTCTTACTTTAGAAGAGAAAGGGAACTGGCACTGAAGAAAACCTTACAGGTGAGGGTAATGGTGGACCTTTTCAATACAACAATAAATTTGATTTTGCTAACTTGGAAATTTAGCAAGGAAAGTTTATTTTTGCAATCAAACAGCTGATGTTATTGAAACTGTGTACGATAACAAAACATCCCAACAAAATATCCTGATAAATAAGAGCAGGCCGTTGTTTTCTTGGAGATTTGAAATTTTACAGTTCTTCATTTGGGATATTAAAATTAGTTTTTGGATTTAGGTGGCTGAGCCCAAGCCCCTTGTTATTCAGGCAGATGTCCTGCAGAGGGAGCTAGAGATCTGCCTAAGAAGAGAGTACACACCTGAAAATTTGCCTTTGCTTCTGCTGCAGGTAAGGAAGGGTCCCTTTGCAATTCAAAAACACAGCTGGAATTTAGTAGAAATTTATGAACAAAGCCAGCTTTCTGGTAGGTTTTCGTACACATGTGTAGTTTGCGGAACTTGGTTAGTGTGAGTGCAGTTATACCACACCGCAGTTCAGTTTAGGCACACTGTAAGTTCCTACTAAACATTTCCTGTGCTTATATGGGGCAATGCAACATTGAGACAGTTTCAGCCTTCCAGAAACTGTTGACTAATCTAGGAAAAACATTTCCAGAATTTTTTCTTAAGAAAATAACTTAAAATGGAAATTTTTTTTCCATAAAGATTATTATTACAACATTGTAATAAAAGTAAAACAATTTGGAATCACCTAAATATCTACCTACCAGGATGAAAAAGAGCTTAGAAAAGCAGTATGGTACTTATTAGAATATTGTTTAGCCTAAGGAATTATTGTTAATATAATATTAATAAAGGTGTATGTGATAATAGCAGTCAAATCATGTATAGAAGAATCACTGGGTGGATACAGACCAGAAAGTTAACAATCACTATGTTTGGATGGCAGGATAATACATTTCCTCTAAATGTTTTTATACTAAGCATTTATAATTTTTAATTTTTAAAATTCTTCATTCTTTACTCATGTGTTGTGAGTTACATCCCCTATGCTTACGAATAAGTTCTTTTTTTTAAATGATATTGAGGATCAAACCCAGGGCTTTGCACATACTAGGCAAGCATTCTACCACTGAGCAATATTTTCAGGCCCAAGACAATTTTTTTTTTCTGTGCTGGGATTGAACTGACGGGTCCTTTATCACTGAGCTATGTTTCCAGTCCTTTTTATTTTTGTTTTGAAACAGGAGCTCACTAAGTTGCTGAGGCTGGCCTCAAACTTGTGATCTTTCTGATTTAACCTCCCAGGTTGCTGGGATTATAAGCATGTGCCACTGCACCCAGCCTCAGTTTTTTGTATTTTGTATTTTGAGTCAGGGTCTTGCTAAATTGCTGAGACTGGCTTTGAACTTGAGATTCTTCCACCTCACCCTCCCAAGTAGCTGGAATTACAGGTGTGAGACAGTGTACCAGCCACAAATAAGTTCTTTAGCAACTAGTTAGCAATTAAGTTAACCACAAAGAAACAAAAGATACTGAAACTCTATTTGCAAGTCATACTGCTGCTGTTTACTTAGGATTATTTTTACCTACCACTTCTTGCATTCCTAATTCCCTTGTATGTATCAGTTGGTCTCTATGGAGAGAGTTGATGAAGAGGGTAAGATAATAGACATTTTGTTCACTTTGAGACACTTGTCAATGTCTGGAGATACTTTGCCCTGGGTGTTTTTACACATTCTGCCATGCCCAGAGCAGCCTCCCACAGCAAAGAATTATCCAGTCCCAAATGTCAATAGAGCTAAGGTTGAGAAACTCTAGTACACTATAAATTTCCATATATCATTTGCCTTCTGTTTAAAGAAAATCCTTTAAGATTTCTTTAGTGCAGGTTTCCTATGGACAAATTCTCACAGTCTGTTGTTTTGCAAAAAATTATTCTTCTTTTATTTATTTCTTTATGTGTGTTTTTTTTTTTTTGTGTGTGTGTGTGTGTGTGTGTGTGTGCATGTGCATGTGATACTGGGGATTTGAACCCAAGACCTTTCACATGTCAGGCATGTGCTCTACCATTGAGTATTTCCTTTGATTTTAGAAAGATATTTTTGTTCAATATAGAATCCTAGGTTGATTTTTTTCTCTTCTTTACTTTTGTTTTGCATAATTTTTATTTCAGAACATAATGCATCTTTTTGTCCTCTGGCTGCTTTTAAGATTTTCTCTTAATGATCTTTAGCTATTTTATTATAAAGTGTATTATTTCTCTTACTTGTAGTTAGTTTAACTCCTTAGATTGTGGGTTTATTGTTTTCATGAGTTTGGGAAAACTGTTGCAAGTAGTAATCAACTATATTTCATTCATTATTTCTTCACATATATTGTCTGTCTGCAACCACTTTATGGCACTGCAATTATACTCTGTTAAACCACTTCATATTGTTCCATAGATCACTGAGACTATGTTAAATTTTTCAGTCTTTTTTTCCCCCTTAGTGTTTCATTTTATACATTTCCTATTGCTGTGTCTTCAAGTTCACCAACATTTTTTTTTTTCAGTACTAGGGATTGATTACAGGGCTTGGCATGTGCCTTGCAAACACTCTGCCACTGAGCCACATCCCCAGTTCAAGATCACCAACTTTTATTATGTAATATCTGATCTGCTTTTAATACCATCCACTCAATTTTTCATTTTAGATACTTTGTTTTTCATTTACAGAAGTTGCAATTGATTCTTTTTAACATTTACCATCTCTTTCTTTATTATGTTCACATTTTCCTTTCAATCTTCAATCATGCTGAACATATTTATATTAAGTTCTTTAAAAGTTCTTGTTTGAACTGGACATCGTGGTGCATGCCTATAGTCCCATCCACTGGGGAGGCTGAGGCAGGAAGATCATGAGTTTTGAGGTCAGTAAATGAAGAATACAAAAGGAATGGGGATGTGACTCACTGACCCTGGGTTCAGTCCTAGAGCAGTGGGAAATTAAAAAGGAAAGAAAAGAAAACAATGTGCTTGCTTGTTAATTTAATCACCTTTGTCTTTTTCTGGGTCTGTTTCTCATCACTAATTTTCTTCTGCTTAAGGATCATGTTTTCCTGCTACTTTACATATCTAATAACTTTTTAACATTTTATTTTTAGTTTTAGATGGACATAATATCTTTATTTTTATTATTATTATTATTTTTTTAATGTGGTGCTAAAGATCGAACCCAGGGCCTCACGCATGCAAGACAAGCGCTCTACCACTGAGCTACAACCCCAGCCCTCTAATAATTTTTTTTAATATTTATTTTTTAGTTGTAGTTGGACACAATCTTTGTTTTACATATTTATTTTATGTGGTACTGAGGATCAAACCCAGGGCCCCGCACATGCTAGGTGATCGCTCTACCACTGAGCCACAATCCCAGCCCCCTAATAAATTTTGATTGCTGAAAATTGTCAACTTTTCATTCCTGGGTGCCAGAGTTTGTATTTTCCTTAGAGTGAGTGTTGGAATTTATTCCAGCAGACTTTTAAGTTACATATCAGTTTAATCCTTTCGAGCTTTGCTTAGAGTGGGTTTAGAATAACTTTACTATAGTCATAGTTTGTCCTTATTACTGAAGCCCCTGTTGTGTCCACTGAATGTCCTGGGTCCCAGTGAAGATCCGGTACCCAGTGAAGCTCCTTTGCTCTGGCTGGGTGGATCTTGAACATCTGTTCAGTTTACAACACCCCAGTCAGTTCTCCTTGGTGCAGCAACGTGGAGTTTCACCCTCTACCCCCTGGCTAGATATTCAGCCACAGACTTCAAGGGATCGCTGCGGATTTCTGGAGTCCTTTCTCCACCTAGTTTCCCCTCTCTAGTATTCCACTCTGCAAACTCCTGACTCCACTTACAAATTTCACTTTCTCCCTTCTTAACCCAGAGAGAATACTTACTCTGCTTGGGATTCCCTGTTCCTTTCCATGTCTCAGAAACTGCAGGGTGACAGGAGTCTGACATTATTTGTTTCCTTCTTGTAGGTGTTACAGTCCTATTCACGGTCAGAAAACAATTGACTTGTATATTTTTTCCAATTTTCTTTTTTTATTTTAACATTTTTTTTTATTTTTTGGAAGTGGTTAGAAACAATACCTTTATTTTATTTATTTATTTTTATGTGATGCTGAGGATGGAACCCAGGGCCTCTCATGTGCTAAATGAGCGCTCTACCACTGAGCCACAATCCCAGCCCCTATTTTTTCCAATTTTCTACTTGCTTATGATGGAAGGACATGATAGAGCTAGACCCAGTTATTCTATCATAGACAGCATTATTTTTATTATTAGAAATAAAACATTTTCAAAAGATTATTTAATCTTTTTTTTTCTTTTCAGTATGAGGATTGATGATTGAACCCAGAGGTACTTTACCACTGAGCTACATCCCCAGCCCTTTTTATTTTGAAAAAGGGTCTCCCTAAGTTGCTGAGGCTGGCCTCAAACTTGTTATCCTCCCGCCTCAGCCTCCTGAGTTGCTGGGATTATAGGCATGTGCTACAATGCCTGGCTTATTTAACTACTTTTTAAAAATATTGTTTTAGTTGTAGTTGGACACATACCGTTATTTTATTTATTTTTATGTGGTGCTGAGGATCGAACCCAGTGTTTCACACATGCTAGGCAAGCTCTCTACTGCTGGCCACAATCCTAGCCCCTAACTATTTTATTTTTTAGTTGTAGATAGACAAAATACCTTTATTTTATTTTTATGTGGTACTGAAGATCGAACCCAGTGCTTCACACATGCTAGGCAAGCGCTTTGCCACTGAGCCATAATCCCAGACCTTATTTAATATTTTTAAGTGTAAATAAAACTTCTGATCTGAGGCTAAAAGCTTTAATATTACCTGTATTGTACTTTGCATTTTGAATCATAATTTCAGTTCTTAATAGAAAATTAAAGCCTACATTGGATAATTTGATAGACCTTAATATCACTGCTAAGATTGTTCTATAATTTATAAATGAGCTTATAAACTATTCACTTGGCAACATATCAGGAAAATTTAGAAGTCTCTACATGTTTTATTTAAGTTTGAATGGTATCATAAGCCAGACTTCTTAATTTTATGGTCTTCATGTAGAAAAGTACATTTTTCTAAAACAATCAGCGTTTGATTTACCTATTATTTGTGTACTTTCTTTCCCAACTTTTTAAATTTGTGTTCTTAAGAATTAAGTCAGTCTTCCTATTACAATAGTGTTCTGCTAAGTGCTTTTTTTTTTTCTTTTTGGTTAAAGTATTACACAGAGAGAATTACCCAGTTGGCCCAGTGTAAATATTTACACATGGTTAGGTGGAAGAGGTTTTGCCAGCACAGTAAGACCATGGAGCAACTTTATCCTCTTTACAAGGTAGGAAACCATGAACAGTACCTGTGGGCTATTTTTTTTTCATATATATATATATATATATATATATATATATATATATATATATATATATATATATATATATATATATATATATATAATACACGACAGCGGAATGCATTACAATTCTTCTTATGCATATATACCACAATCTTTCATATCTCTGTTTGTATATAAAGTAGGTTGACATCCAATTTGTGTCTTTATACATGCACTTTGGATCATGATGTCCATCACATTCCACCATCCTTGCTAATCCCCTGCCTCCTCCCTTTCYCTCACTCCCCTCTTCCCTATCTAGAATTTATCTATTCTTCCCATGTTCCCCTTCCCTACCCCACTATGAGTCAGCCTCTTTATATCAGAGAAAGCATTCGGCATTTGTTTTTGGGGGGATTGGCTAACTTCTGTGGGCTATTTTTTTATGATAAAAATAATGGTCAATGAGCTTGTCCATGTTTTTAAATCATTGATAAAGATAGGAAAGGAATCGATTGGTGCATCTTCTTGCCTGTTCTGCTAGTGGCAGAAGATAATGGTTCCTATTTTTAAGAATGAGATATGAAGAAAGTTTTATATGATAGAATATGTGTGTTTCTCTCTAGACTTGGCTTCCGCTGCTGTAGGTGACAGCTCAAAAGCGGAGTCCAGTAACTAAATCTCCTCATGCACTGACTGCAGTCTTTCTCCTTCAAAGTCCTAATTAAGAATATGAACACTGCCTTTATCAGTCAAATTCAGAATATAGCGGAACTTTGGGATTCACACTTTATTTGGCCCCCAGACATCATTCCCCTATGCTTGGAAGCCAATGGCACAGAGAATAAGGCTTGCCAATGCCGAGCTCTGTCTTCCTATCTCTCTTAAACAGAAACGAGTTGGCTACATTATGCAGGAATACAGTGATGCTGTCCAGAGAGCTGAAAGATTATCCATTGCTCGAGAAAACTTCCTTATGGGAAAAAAGAATCCTCCTAACTTAGTGATGCTGGAAGATGTGACAATTTACACAAGGTGGTTAGTGTGTCACCTACACTCTTTCAGGACTGTTCACCACTATCTGCAGGTATGTCAGATGCTCACGTGACTCTGTGGTGCACTCCCACGAATGGCCACCATGCTGTTTTCTCGCATCTGTCACCTAGCGTCACCTTGTCAGGGTTTCTGTACTCTACCTGCTCTAAAAAGGACAGGAAAGCAATGAGTCACTGGAATTTTTTGAAAAACTTGCTCCGTTGAAATCACTGCCTTAATTCAGCTCTTTCAAAGATGGCTCAGATGTACTATTTCCCATTCACTCTGTAACTTCCTGTTTTCTGTTCAAGATTTATGCTCTTCAACCGGAGTCCACTTTGTTAGTCAGCAATGTTTAATGAGGGTCTGACAGCTACTTGTCCTAGGCCACACAGCAAAATGTGGTCTTTGCTGAAAGGTAATGAGGTCCCAGGCAGGCAGGGCAAGGAAACTTTTACTGAAATGCAATGGCGTAAGACAAAGTAAACTAAGCAAGTATAAGGTAAAGGCACAGAGGAGAGGACCTAACTCAGGCTGGAGGGTCACAAAGGAGTTAAATGATTACATTTCCATTTTAGAAAAATTATTTTTTGGTTACTAAATCTTTTCTTAGTCCTTTCCTCCTTATCTCAGTGACACCACTGAGTTCAAACCAGAAACCTGGCCATCACCTGACTTGACTTCTTTTTCACGTCTAGTCACTGTGGGCTGCACCTCTAATACCTCTCCCCACTCACATGGTGGTATAAATATCTGCTCATCCATTTAGGTCCTCCACCAAAACATGAATTCCAAGGTGGGGAACCACCTTGTTGCTTTTTATTTATTTCTTTATTTTTGTGGCGCTGGGGATTGAACCCAGGGCCTTATGCATGTGAGGCAAGCACTCTACCAACTCAGCTATATCCCCAGCCCTTGTCTCTCTTTATATAATTAGTACCTCGCAGGGCTTTGTCTGTTTTGGTTGTGTGATTGGTGTAGAACTGGCTGGAGGTTAAGGTCACCCAGAGTTGGTAACAATACTGGTTTCCCATTTTCAAATTTCGTTCCTCATGATTAGCAGATTCCTAAGGTCCCATCTCTAGCTCCCTCCTTTCCTATCAAAGCAAAGTGCTGCTCTGAACCTGAGTCTGGAAGCTTCCCAGAGAATCAGGTTGATGTGTGGCTTATGGTTGTACCCCTCTGTAGGCCCTCCAGTATTTGCCCATCTCCAACATGCTGAGTCCAGCTGACAACCAAGACCCCGAGGCTGGTCAGGAAAGTGACAAGGTCTGTGTCAATGACATGGATCCCAACATCCAGAGTCCTGCATCTTCTGGCCTGGTGGATACTAGCATTTCAGGTAAGAAATTAGTCTTCTTCCCCCTAGGGTTATGTGGAGAAAAGAAGATTGTGTTTGGGGGCATGTGCTATTTTGAACCATGGCCTTGCAAACATTTTTCTATGTATCAAAAGTTGTTATCTTCCTAATGAACAAATGTTAAGTTTATTTTTTCTGATGAGAAAAATCGCTAACCACTTCCCTTAGACATTTTGATCTTTGTAATTCACAAATTAAGAGAAAGGGAAAAAATGGACTTGACATCAGGAGATTTGGGTTCTGGGGTTGTTTCTGTCCTGCTCATCTAGGCCTGCATTTCCTTGGGCCTCAGTTTACTTTTACATAATAAGCCTTTCAGATTAAGTGATCTCTAGTGTTCCTTTCAGTTTTAAGATCACACAATTCTAAACTAATTATTCATCAGAATCAATTTCATATAGTCTTCCTGGTCTTGTGTTACAGATGGTCACTGATGTAACRTAGAGTACCGTTCTTGCTTAGGGTATGCACAGAGTGTCCCAGGAGCACCTGGGAGTGGCAGCCAACCTCAGTGATGGGGATCTCAGAAGTTTTCTTGATGGAGAGGAGGGGAGTTCCAGCTGGGTCCTTAGAGTTGATTAGGAATTAGACACAAGATGGTGAAAGCTCTCACCTTCTTCTCATTTGTTGATTAATGTTTAAGTGATATAATTCATTTGCCACAAAGAACTCTGGGCAGGGATGCTTCCACTTAGTCATTTCCCAAAGATCTGTTGGGTTCCTCCTGCAGGCTGTGAGAGGGTGAGGAGTCCTGTCTCCCTCCTGCAGAAATCTAGCTCCGAGGACTTGTCGGATAYACCTGGCCAAGTGTGGTGCTGATTATAAATGTGGCAGAGAAGGTTGGGCAAGGGGCAGAGGAGGGCCTACCTTTAGTTATCTCCAAGGATCCTCTGAGGTTCTACCTCTAACTCCTTCCTTCCCTATCAAAGCAAAGTGTTGCTCTTGAACCTAACCTGGATGCTTCTGTGAGAACTGAGTTGATGTGTGGCCGCCTGGTTGTGCCTTTCTGTAGACCCTCCTGTATTCTTTGGCCTTCACGCTCTTGATTTTGGATCTTTTTCAGGGCCAATGAGAACAGATGCTGATTTCATGCTGCCCCAACACACAACAGAAACAGGAGAACTGAAACCTCAGCTGAGGCGCCTTCTGTCACACTTCCATATCCCATACGACCTGCAGGAGCTAAGGAACTCTGCTAAGGAAATGGAACTTTTTTCCTTGGTACTCTATGTACTCTCCTTTTTAATTTATTAGTTATTGATGGACCTTTATTTATTTATTTGTTTATATGCAGTGCTGAGAATGAAACCCAGTGCCTCACACATGCTAGGCAAGCGCTCTACCACTGAGCCACAACCCCAGCCCCTCTATGTACTCTTAATAAATCTAGATGTCCGTGAAGGAAAACACCATTATTTGCCACCAAGATGCATATTTATATGGCCAAGGTTGTTTCTAGAATGATAAAATAGTAATAGGTGACATTTAGGTTGGCAGTTAGGAAGAACTTACTTTCCATAAGAGGAATGGGACCCTCCAATGGCAAACCCAGAGGAACTGTAGGATTTTTTTTTTTTTCCTGCAGAATTTAAAGAAAAGGCTGGGCAACAGTCTGTAGGAACTAAAAATGTAGCCAAGATCTGGCAAATTTGCATGGTAGAGCCATCAAGTGTCTAAAGCCCTCTGATTCTCAGAATGTGTGGCAGTACTCTCCTTGCTGACAAAATGCTTTATATTCAGCAAAGTGTACCTTGTGTCGTGAGGTTTAGAGTCACAGTCTTCTCTGCTGTAACACAGAGTTAGCTGGGTGCGGCACCATAATCCCAGTGGCTCAGAAGGCTGAGGCAGGAGGATCATGAGTTCAAAGCCAGCTTCAGCAACAACGAGGTGCTTAGCAATTCAGTGAGACCCTGTCTCTAAATAGAATACAAAATAGGGCTGGGGATGTGGCTCAGTGGTCAAGCACCCCTGAGTTCAATCCCTGGTACCTCCCCTCCCAAAGCAAAACAAAACAAAAACAAGAAAACACAGTGTTGCATTCCCTGAAAAAGGAACTCACATCATCAAAAGCCATGTTAAAACTTGTTGCAAAAGGAAAAACAGGAGTATGGGTGAAGAGCATCGGATATAACAAAATTTTTCAGCAAATGTTTTGACAATAAAAATAGTTTCTACCTCTAGCTGATATTATTTGCAAATGTATATATTTGCTAGATAAAAGTAACAAATGGACAGATCCAAATGGGCAAAAATCAAATCTGAGCGTTCTGGATTGCTCTTCATATGACAAGGGCTACTCTCTCCTCTATTATCATTTGTTTGACCTTGAAGTTGCCCTTGCGTTTGTACTTGTTCTTGCATCATTTTACTGGGATCATTTCCATCATTTCCATTAGTAACGCAGTTCAGTGAAACCAGTGGTATCACATTCCTCCAGTTTCTTTGAAGGTGATGATGTTTAGCTTTTGTTTTTCTTTTTGTGTCCCAGCAGCGCTGTCCTCACGGGGCTTCTAGGGAGTGTCCTCTGCCTTATCATCACCAAGTGTTATGAAGGGCAAAACACAGAACAGGAATAGGATGGTATTTAAAAAGAACAGAATAAGTAATAATAAGTTGTAGCACAGTAGACTATTATCAATGATAAACAAGAGGACACAGGCCAGCTGGGCACTCCAACAAAGCAGCCTTGTTCCAAAGGACAACTTGTCTCCTCCATGTAGTGATAGTTGCCATTTGATTTTCTTATAATAGTATTATATGAAACGTTAACTGTGCTCCTGAGCTAATCAATCATATTACAACAACATTTTTGTGTAGGGAGAGTTCTTATGTTTAGATACTGTTTATTCTGGTACTTTAATGTCCCTGGAGCAGAGTCAGTTCAGCAAACCCAAAGCCTGCTGCCCAAACACTAGTTTTTCTAAAATCAAACTGTTTGGAATACAGTGCTTCAGCCCATTTAGATGGCTATAACTCGGTGGCTTATAAATGAAAAGCATATATTTTTTATACTTGTGGAGACTGAGAAGTTCAAGACCAAGGTAGATACAGTGTCTGGTGAGAGCCTGTTTTCTGGCTCATAAATGGTGCCTTTTTGCTGTGTCTTCACATGGCAGAAAGGCATCTCTCTGTTTTTTTTTTATGTGACACTAATGCTATTCACTACATCCCAAAGGCCCCACCTCCTAATACCACCACCTTGGGGATTAGGATTTCAATACATGAATTGTGTAGGATCATAAATAAATATTCAGACAATAGCATAATCATGCCTCTTCATTTATGTATTATCTATGGCTGCTTTCACTACAACAGCAGACTTGGGTAGTTGCAACAGAGCCCCTGTGGTCTGTAAAGACTAAAATACTTACTATCTGGCCCTTGAAGAAAATGTGCAATTCAGTCCTAATCTAGCACTGTCTTGCTGAATTTCCCAGTGATGAATATGTTGGCTGCTCTGACCTGTAAGTTAACCAGTAGTCACCTATGGCTATTGAGCTCTTGGAATGTGGCTACTACAACTGAAAAACTAAATTTTCAAGTTTACTTAATCTTTTCTTTTCTTTCTTTTTTTTTTTTTTTTTTGGTACTGAGGGTACCTGACCACTGAGCCACATCCCCAGCCCTATTTTGTATTTTATTTAGAGACAGGGTCTCACTGAGTTGCTTAGCTCCTCGCTTTTGCTAAAGCTGGCTTTGAACTCACGATCCTCCTCCCTCAGCCTCCAGAGCTGCTGGGATTACAGGTGTGTACCACCATGCCTGGCAGTTTACTTAATCTTTAATTAATCCACAATTAAATGTTAAAATGCCACATGTGGCGAGATGCAACTGTATTCGACAGCCACAGAAGCACCAGCATGCACTGGAAGAATATTCAGCTCTGTAACTCACAAACTTGCTCACTCACTTCAGAAACCATTGTTGAGATCTTAGTATGTGCCAGCACCATGCATGGTGGGTTCTTTGTATGTGCATGTACATGTGTGTTTGTACGTGTGTATGTACATGTATGGTAAAATACATATAACATAAAAATTTGCCATTTTGAACATTTTAAGGAGATGGGTTCAGTGTCATTAAGGACATTACACTATTGCATCATGGAGGTGCCATCACAGGGCCAGTGGACCCTGGGGCCACTCAGGAGAATAAAGGAGGAAATGCTCAGCACTTTGGTAGTAGGAAGTTATGTCATAGAAAGCATTTGCAGCCTCAGTCTGGGAGTGAGATGTGAAGGGAATAGGCCAAGGCACCTTAAAAAGTTTTAAGAGGTTCTAGCATCTGGACTCTTCTTTCTAGTAACATCCTAGTCAGGCTTCTGAGAGTAGGATATACTTGGCCTTTGGATGTTCTATTTTATGAGGTGGTCAGAAAAAAATCAAAACGTTTCCAGATGTGGACAATGTACTTCTCACATTTAGGGCCCAGCTCAAAATACACACAAATAAATATGCTAATGTATTTCCAATCTTTGAGCAGACATTCAGGATAAGTGACACAGTTATGGTAAGGAGCTGACTGCACATGTGCCACACAGCTACGTCCATGTAAGGTCCTATTGCTATCACAGATTCCTGTTTTATGAATCAATTTGACTCCAGGGCTATTTCAAAGATAATCAGTAGCTGTTTTTGAAATTGCATATCATCCAAGACTTTTTTTTTCACTTCTCTCTTCTAAATCTTATTTAGGTTTTCCAAAAATTTCAAAGCATCTTCACAGAGCAACAGAGAATGCAGATGTTTYCAGACTACGAGGCTGGAACAGCTAAAGCAGAGAATTTGTCAGGACCACCTATAGCCCTGAAAAAGAGAGCCAACTGGATTTCCTTTATAAAGGTAAGGGGGCCTATGGTGACAATCACCTGTCAGTGATGTCAGCAGTGTCACAAGATTTTCCTCCAACCAGGCCAGGCAACATGGCAGCACCAGGTCTATCTGGTCCCTGTTGCCCCTTCTCCTTAGTGCCCCCAGAAGATTCCTGAGAGGAGACCACACAGAGAACTTGGCCTTGTGCACCAGGCCTCCCAGTGCTTTGGCTGCCTGTGTGGATATTAGCCACGCTGATGTGCCTCCTCTGGAAGTTCCAGATACCTCTGTTCAGATCCAAACTCTCTTCTTATGGTTAAAGATCTCCAATACTTGGAAAGAACAAAGAATAATGCCCAAAGATGTAATTGACTCATGTAAATCGAACTTTTTATTTAAAAACTAGCATTGGGTAAATACTTTGTCAGGCACAATCACTGGTGCTGGAGAAGCACAATTAATAAGAAACATCTAAGTAAGAAGATTAAATAAGATGATTTTGGGTAGTGCTAAGAGCAATCAATTCTCATTCTAGGAAGTTGTGTTCTAGAAAGGAACACTGCTTTAGTAGATACCACATCATATCTTTCCTAGGGGAAAGGCAGGGGGTTAGGTTCCCGTGATCCTCTGCTCATAACATTAGTCAATACATAACTTTGTTTTGTGTGTGTTCCTGTTTAAAGACACCTTATTTATATATACATATATAATTTAAACGTTTTTTTTGTTTTGTTTTCAGKGCTGGGAATCAAATCCAGGGGCCACACACATGTGCCAGGCCTATGCTCTACCATTAGGCCACATCCCCAGCTAATATATATTATTGATTCATTAGCATTAAACTCAAGGTCAATAACACTCTGGCTCATTTACTAGTGAAGCATATCTAATGTATTTTCTCTATAGAGAACATCACAGCATTCTTGTGCTTAGGAACACTAGACAACATGCTATTGGACTCTGCTTAGGGACCATTTTAATAATGAAATTACCAACAAAAAGCATGGAAAAATGCAAAAAGTGTGTCTCTAAATAGACTATGCAAAGGATTCTTCTCTCTAGTATCCTTTAAAATTAGGAGAAGGCACTAAATGTGAGCAACTCCAATTGTTCACCACTCTGTGCATGATTTTGAAGGACTATGACAGTTCTACCAGTGTCAAATTTTGGGTCACAAGTAATTTTTARTGAGTAGGTAAAATTGAAAGTATGAAATCCATGCATGATAAGGATTAATTGTATTATGAGGGAAAGAAAATTTCATATGATTCTCATTGTTCACTTAGATTGCTTTAACAARATAAAAATAAATTTGGTAGTTTATAAACAACAGAAATATATTTCCCACAGTTCTGTAGGCTGAGAAGTCCAAAGTGGCATTGCGATTGGGCTCTGGTGAGGGCCCTCTTCCAGGTTGTAGACTATTGATTTCTTGCTGTGTCCTCACAAGATAAAAGGGACAAACTTTCTCAGGCTTCATTTGTATGGGCACTAAGTATATTCATGAGGGTTCCACACTCACAAACTAATTATTTCCTACAGACCTCACCTCCTACTAACATCACCTTGCAGGGTTATATTTCACAAGTGAATTTTAGAGGGACACAGATATTCTGAGCATAGTCTATTCTGACCTGTGGACTGAAAGGAGAGAAATCAAAGATTGGGTTTGGGACCTGCACACAGGTGGTCAGCATAAAGGAAGGTGAATTTTCTGTTTTAGATTGCTAAACTTGACATATAAATATCAAGGAGATAGTTGGACAAGAAGCTAAAACCAGATATAATGAAATATTACTCAGCCATAAAGAGAAATGAAATTATGGCAGTTGCCAGTAAATGGATGGAACTGGAGAATATCATGCTAAGTGAAATAAGCCAGTCTCAAAAAAACCAAAGGCTAATGTTCTCTCTGATACACAGATGCTAACTCACAATAAGTGTGGGGAGTATGGAAGAATAAAAGTACTTTGGATTAGACAAAGGGAATGAAGGAAAGAGAGGGGAGAATGGGAATTTGAGAGTTATTAACATACCGATGGTATTTACAAACACAGAACGTTTTTGTGTGTGTGGGACTGGGGATTGAACCCAATGGCACTTAATCACTGAGCCACATACCCACCCTTTATTTGTCGTTGTTCTTTTTAGTTATACATGACAGTAGAATGTATTTTGACTTATTATACATGCATGGAGTACAACTTTCTGTTCTTCTGGTTGTAATTCCATGATGTGGAATTACATTGGTCATGTATTCCTATATGAACACAAGAAAGTAATGTTCGATTCATTCTACTGTCTTTTCCTATTCCCATTCTCCCCTCTCTTTTCTTCATTCCTTTGTCTAATCCAAAGTACTTCTATTCTTCCCTACTCCCCACACTCATTGTGTGTTAGCATCTGCATATCAGAGAGAACATTCAGCCTTTGATTTTKGGGGGATTGGCTTATTTCACTTAGCATGTTATTCTCCTGTTGCATCTACTTATTGGCAAAAGCCTTAATTTCATTTCTCTTTATGGCTGAGTAATATTTCATTGTGTGTATATACCACATTTTCTTTATTCATTCATCTGTTGAAGGGCACTGAGGCTGGTTCCATAGTTTAGCTATTGTGAAACTGATCTGCTATAAATTGATGTGGCAACAACACTATAGTATGCTGATTTTCAGTCCTTTGTGTAATATACTCCCTTTCTGATATTTTATTGAAAGAGAAGCTCTCACTGAGTTGCTTAGGGTCTCCTAAATTGCTGAGGCTGGCTTTGTACTTGCAACCCTCCTGCCTCAGCCTCTCAAGCCACTGGGATTACAGGCATGTGCCATTGCACCCGACAACAGAACTAGTTTTTGAAATACAATTTGTTAATATGAGTCATGATGTTTTAAAATGGAGTTGGGAAGAGTCCATGGGTGAACTTCTTTCTCTTATTTCATGAATAAAATGCAATGCCCAACCGTGATGGAGTCAGGGTGCCTCCTGCTCATAGATTGTGTACTGCAGACAGAACTGCTATCTCCTTCCACGTATTTGTGATCCCATGCAGACCCTTCCCAGGATCTCACATGTTCTAGCAAACCTAGTACCTAGGCCAGATCCCACTTCAGAAAGTCTTTGAATCTTTTTGTTTGCAGCTTTTACTGAAAACCATCCTGTTATGTTRCAACTTTATGTGAATATGTTTGTCCACTAGATCAAACCAAAATGTGATCCTTGGCAGAAGAAGATGTTGACCAAACTAAAAGAAAGGAGAAGAATAGATGTATTAATGCAACTCCAAGCAAAGTTTTTGAAGGTAAGAAAAGAACTATGTTCTCTTGTAGATAAAATTCATCCTCAAAAAAAAAAAAAAAGGAAATTTCTTTCCCTTTTGAAAAATGTTAGCATGGATTCAAAGTGAAGGCTGTATTTGGAACTTTCTAATCCGTCCAACTTTAAAAATCCTGTTAGCTTTCAGTAGAGAATAAAAATTGTCAAAGGAGCTAGACTTTAGCACAGATTTATTGTCAARTCTCTGTRTGATATTAGTCTAGTCATGTAACCTCTTTCAGCCTTAGTTTTCTTATTTGTGAAATACAAATATTGGACTAAATGATCTTTTTTATTATGGTAGATATGCTTAACGTAAAATTTACCATCTTAACCATTTTAAGTATACATTTCTGTAGAGTTAAATGTAATGACATTGTTGTGAGCATCTGCTTACAATAGAACTTTCTCCTCTTTCAGAACTGAAACTCTATACTCTTTGAACAACTCCCCATTCCCCATCTCCCCTCAGCTCTTGGCAACCATCATTTTACTTTCTGTTTTTATGAACTTGACTACTTTAGATWCTTCRTATAGTGAAGTTATACAGAGTTTGTCTTTTTGTAGCTAACTTATTTCATTTAGCACAATATCTTCAAGATTCGTCCATGTTAGAACATGTGTCAAAATTTCCTTCCTTTTAAAGATTCTTATAAATGTATACCACATTTTATTTATCCACTCATCTATTGATGTACATCTAGGTGGCTTTCACCTCATGGCTASTGTAAATAATGCTGCTAGAGGTGTGAAAATATCTCTTTGAGGTTTTGCTTTCAATTCTTTGGGGTATATACCCAGGAGTAAAATAGCTGAATCATATGTTAATTCTATTTGTGATTTTTTTTGAGGAAGCTCCACAATGCTTTCCATAACTGTTACACCATTTTATAATTCTACTAAGAGTGTACAAGATTCCAATTTTGCCACATCCTCAACAACATTTGTTATTTTCTGGGATTTTTGAGGTTCTTTGTGATACTAAAATGATATAGTAATACATGTATCCCTGAAGTTGATGTTCAATTCTGGGGCCATTATTCAATTCCATGCCTCCAGAATCTGGGGAGAGAGATCCCCAGTCTTCTTGTTAGGTCAACATACTCTGTTCTGGGTGGAAAAGCCACGATTCCAGGAAGGATATAAGCCCAATTCTATGTCTGGTTTCTCGTTCTGCTTCTCTGCTGCTCCTCCTCCATCTCATAGCAATTCCTTCAGTGGACAGAGTTTCACCTAGAACTGATAAATGTTATCATTTCATTGGTGCTACAACACTTRTGCAAATGCTACCTGATACTGCCTTGGAGGTGGTCACAGAATTTTAAATGAGTTACTATGCATATTTGAATATTTATGATGTTGAGTGAACGAACATGTTTGGGTAATGGTGATGCTTAAATTCAATGTTATTTTTAATTGAATAAAGTCCCCATCTTGGGTTTCTTTCTTGTTCGTGTGTGTGTGTGTGTGTGTGTGTGTGTGTGTGTGTGAGTGTGTATGACCAAATGCTAGCTGAGAAGAAGGGGAAAATGTTTCTGCTAACAATTCCTTCTCCTCTCTGTTCTACCTAAGATCTCTAACCCCAAGCGAGTAATGCAAGTACTCCAGGATCATGCTGCCAAGATAATCATGCTGTCTCCACACCATCCGTCTTTCATGTCTTCCCAGAGTTCGCCTCAGTGCAACTATGACCAGATCTGGGAGAACATTTATAGCAATGTCAACCTCTACCAGGTACCAGATGAAGAAATAACCAATATGCCAGGTGTGGTGATACATACCTGTAATCCCAGCAGCTCAGGAGGCTTAGGCAGGAGGATCGTGTGTTCAAAGCCAGCCTCAGCAACTTATCAAGGCACTTAGCAACTCAGCAAGGTCCTGTCTCTAAATAAAATTTTAAAAGGGTGGGGGTTGGGGTTGTGGCTCACTGGTTAAGCACCCCTGGGTTCAATCCTCAGTATCAAAAAAAAAAAAAAAAAAGGAGGAGGAGAAGAAGAAATAATCAATATGCCCTCCTTTTCAACCTGTTTGCAGTTCTGAGAAATGTTCATTAATGGTTTTTCTGTGACCCTCTTGTGAAAAGCTTTATTACCTAGCCAGGCTTATTTTCATTATAAGAAAGATTAAGTGCCAATAGAAAAGAGGAATATAAAGAGGTATAATATAATATATTTCTGCCAGGACATAGACTMCAGCTGAGCATATCAGTGCAAGACTGCACATCCTGGTGATCAGCCCCCAGTGAGCTGGGCAGTTATTAACTATTGAGAGTGTCTGGGGGGAGGCAGTCCCCTCTGGCCTGGTGCTAGTGGGGAAAGCCTCTTGGAGGAGCAGGTAATGAGCTAGGCTTGAAGCAAGTGAGGAGCTTAGGCAATCGGTGGGGGAAAAAGTGAGGAGTACATTCGAGGAGGGACACCATGAAAGATGATGCAGAGGAAATACCACAGTCCAGCTAACCAGTAATCTTCATGAGTAGAAGATTCATGAGGAAATATAGTGAAGAGAYCTTTTGTTGTGGGGGAGGGACTGGGAGAGGCAGAAACAGAGGGAGGTTGTGAATTTGCCCATAAATCCCAGCTGAGGGAATTTGTGATTAATCTATAAGAAAAGTGACATATACAAAGGCATAATTTTTAGGAAGATTCCTATGGCAGCTGGTGTGTGTTGGATTCCTGGAGGGAGAGGCCGAAGGCAAGAAGGCCAGTTAGGTAGCTGCCGTTTAGGATGGACATGAAGTTTGGCAGTGAAAGGAAGTCTCCTAACAAGGCTAGTGGGCGTTTGTCTTCACAGTGCCACCATGTTTTTGAAGGTATAACCTACTATTATTTATTTGTCACTCAAAGGGAAGAGTTTCCTGTCGTCTGCTTATTTAAGATAGGAAGGGGCTGGGGATGTGGCCCGGGTTCGATCCTCAGCACCACATACAAATGAAGATGTTGTGTCTGCCTGGGGAAAAAAAAAAGTTGTCCATGTTAAAAAAAAAAAAAAATGGGAAGATCTTGATGTGTTTATGGTCTGTGAGGGAGGGGAAATGGAGAAGAGGTGGAGGAAATGAAAGGGGGAAATGGAGAGACAGATGACTCTGGAGAAGGAGGGAATGGGATGAAGAAATCAGGTAGAGGAATAATTTTGAAAAAGGGAGAATGATATCACTTGCCTTGAAGTGAATAAGATAGAGAATTTTTAGGTGCAAAAAAGTAAGATGCAGGTACTGATGCCTGGTTCTGGCTGAGAGAGAGAGAGAGAGAGAGAGAGAGAGAGAGAGAGAGAGAGAGAAACAGAGAGAGAGACGGAGAGACAGAGACAGGAGGCACAATTTGTCGGCATTACTGAGGTGGAAGTTCAGAGTGGCCTGTGTCAAGGTGGGTCACCATGGGGATGGCCACATAGCCAAAAGGCCCCACTTAAAGCAAGAGGACATGAATTTGTTGTGAGCCCATWTTCCACAAATTCTATTACTTTCAACCTTAGCAGTAATCATAGAGTAACTGAAAATTGTCTGAAGTCAAAGTTGTGGAGAAGTTGATTGAGTAGATTGCTGGACAGAGGAGCCTCTCCTGGCCTATCTTCCCAGGCCGGGGATGAGGGTGAGTGAGACCTGAAGTGGTCAGGTGAGTTGTGGAGTGGCTGGAAGCAAACACACGTGCACACGCATGAACACACAAACACAACACTCTTGTGCAACTTTTAAATCTGTTTGAATGAGATCTAGAGAATCTAATGAGCAATGAGTTGGCCGCACAGGTCAGGAGCAGAGGCAGCATTTATCTCTCTGGCTCCCCAATTCTCTGATGGGGCATGCAACTACCAGTGATGCTTTTAGCTTCCCGCCAGAGTTAAATAAATAGCCACACTTTCTTTATACTGTCGGCCTTTTGCACTGAGGTATATGTCACCATTCAGGAAGAACTTATACTAACCAAAGGGTATTTTAAAACATTTATGATCCAACTTATTGAACTAAACTGGAGGGTAGTGGAGAAGRAAGGAGGAGGCAGAGTCAGCCCTTGGTAACTTTGAACAATCTCTCTGCTTCTAGAGTCCTGGACAGTTTGCCTCTGATGCTGATGCAATGATCATGCTTTACCCAGGAAGTTCTGATACTCATGTCTGATGGCCACCAGCACAAATCTATGTTCCTCATTGGCTGGGACAGCAGGAGGAGTCAAACTCTTAGGGGGCTCATTCGAACTGAAGGAGGGGAACAGGAGTGAGGAAGAGGTGGGAGGCAAAGGAAGATGGAGTTGTACAAAGAGTTTCATGTTTGAAATTGTGGGAAAGCAATAGGATCCAGGGTGTGGCCTGGCCACCAGGTCACTGAGTTTAGTAGTTCCCATGGGCACTTAGTGGGACCTCATGCCAGCGAAGAGCAGAAGGTTCACAGTGACTTCCGGAGATGAGGCCTCAGGTAGGTAACACACAGATAGGGCAATAGCATGAGAGGCCATGGTTGAATGGAAGTGGAAGGTTCCAGCCTGCCTTTCCCCTACCACACAGTGGAGGGAGAACTGATGCTTCTTTCTTCGTTTCTGCTTCCTTCCACCAGCAGAGGGGTTGGAAAGTCAGGTACGAAACAGATGCAGTCTATGCCGTCACCAATGATTGTGTTGAAGGAGATGGCCAAATGTTAAAAAAAAAAAAAAAGAAAGAAAGAAAGAAAAAAGAAAAGAAAAGAAAAAAGTGGAAGGGAGGAGGAAAGAAGAAAACCACTTCTCCTTACTACTGACTGACATAAATGTTGTTCTTGGATTTGACCAGAGGGAGAAAAACATGGGTATTTTCAAGTTGATTTTTATGGTCAATAGACCATAAAGAGCTTAGAATACCTGTTTATTTTTAGATTCCAGAGGTGGGGCACGAGGGAGGCAGATAAGGAACACAAGTCACCCTACATGTTAGTCTGACTCATTCATTCCTTCAGCAATTGTTACTCAGATACTACCTTTGTGCCAGGAATTACGCTGGGTGCAGGAAATGAAACAGACGGTTCCCTGGAGCAACATGCAATAAATAAGTGAACAGAGAAGTAAATCTAGATTTCTTAACTTGTGATTGCCACAAAGAAACTACAGGGGCAGAGAACAATGGGCAGAAAGGGGCACGCTTTGGTAGAGGGCAGCCAAGATCTCTTGGTAGGGATGGAGGTGGCATTTGARCTGACATCTAATGGTTGAGAAGCAGCTGCCATGAAAAAAGCCTGGAGAAGAGCTTTCCAAGCAGGGAACAGAAAATAGCACTGGGTTTAAGAAAGGCAGCTTTGAGCCAGGTGTATGGGTGCTTACCTGTAATCCCGGTGGYTCAGGAGGCTGAGGCAGGAGGATCACAAGTTCGAGACTAGCCTCAACAAATTTAACAAGACCGTAAGCAACTTAGTGAGACCCTGTGTCAAAATAAAAAAATAAAAAGGGGTGGGGATGTAGCTCCGTGGTTAAGTGCCCCTGGTTTCAATTCCAGGTACTAAAAAAAAAAAAAAAAAAAAAAAAAAAGACAGCTCTGAGGCAAAAACCAATGTTTTCAACCTTCCTTCCCATTTCCTTCCCATTTTCCTGTGTGTGATAATGTGTGACCTCTTCAAACATTTCTGTCACTTTATACTGTATCAGAGCCCCAATGGTAGCATATTGCCATTCTGAATGTTGAATACTAGTCAGATGAGATTAGGATGAAGCAAAAAAAATGTGGCAGCTGGGAGGAGGCCCAGGAATGCGGCTCTGAATTTTAAAGCTCAGTTACTGATTTACAAGCATGTAGCAGTCAAGTACCAAGTTTAGCATCTGTATGCTGGTCTGCACTCTGGTTCTGAAGCTGGCAAGTGGCAACCAACATCCCATGACAAATAACTTTCTTAAGCGCCTTCTGCACAAAGGAAAGCAAATCTCATCAGACTGACATTTTGACAGCCACCGCAGAATGTAATTCCTACTATGCAAACACAGAACAGCTTCTGATCAATTCCAGGAGAATGCTGTTTACCAGTAACCTTTCCTTAGGTTTTTTTTTTTTAATAAAAGTTTTATTTTGTTATAGTTTGATATTTACAGAAAMATTGTCAAGGTGGTACAAAGAGTTCCTGTAGAGCCCTTCCCCAGTTTTGCCTGTTATTAACATCTTACATCAYTATGGTACATTTGTCACACCTAAGGAACAAACATTGGTGCATGACTGCTAACTAAATTAATCTTCATTTGGATTTCACCAAATTTTCCATTAATATTCTCTTTTTTTCTGCTCTGGACTCTATACAGGTTATGACGGTGCATTGATCACATCTCCCTTGTCTCCTCTGGTCTGTGATAGTTTCTTAGTCTTCCTTTGTTTATTGTGACCTTGACGGTCTTCAGGARTTCTGGCCAGGTGACCCAGAGACAGATCCCTAATTTGATTTTTTTTCTGATGTTTTTCTCATGGTTCTGCTGGGGTTATGGGTTTAAGTGAAAGAGTACAACAGAGACAAAATGCCCCTCTCATCACATCACACCAGGGAATGGGAAATCAATAGGATTCATCACTAGTCAAGCTAATTTTGTTCACTAGGTTCAGCTGAGGGTGTTTGCCAGGTTTCTCCATATAGTTACCATTTTTCTTTTTAAGGAATTTAAAAACTAATAATTTTAAACTACGGTAGTAGTAAATAAATTCTTCATTTACAGAAATGTTYCAAGGTACTACAAAGAGTTCCCATATGCCCCTCACCCTTGTAAAAGATGAAGAGATAACTCAAGAGTTAATTCCTCCTTGACCACCCTCTTCCCAAGTGTTGCTCTTCGTTCCRTCTCCCCAGAGGTTAAACACTAGTATTACTTCCAGCCTTTTCAATGCATYTACATGCATATGTATATTCCCATAAAAAGAGAGAAAGAATAATTTTGTTTCAGTTTTCTGTATAAATGACATGTCACACCATGAGACTGTCGGTCTGTAACTGGCTTTTTTTGTACAACAATCTGTCTTGAAGATCTGTCTTGCTGCTCTTTTTAATGGCTATATGATATTTTATAGCAGGCCACAGCTTAGACAGCTGTCTTCATGGAAAGTAGCTGCCAATTTTTCTTCTAGTAAAAAGCAGTCCTACTGAACTTTCTTGTATATGTGTTTCTTTAGAGTAGATATTTAAAGGTGGATTTTCTGGTCACAGAATATGCACAAAAACTTTTACATGAATCTTGCCAAGGTGTTTAAACCATTCCCCGCACCAGCAACTTATGAGGGTTTCTATTTCCTACAACTATTGTGAGCAAACACTGGAGATGTTTGTCTGAACTTGATAATGTTTTAATGTTTCTATCACATTTCAAATTGGGCTTTAATTGAAGGTTGGACCTTCTTTTCTAGCAAAATACTAATTCTGTATTTACTTAAAGATATAGGTTTGGGGAATATAGAAAAAAATTTTTAATGTCCAATTATTAATTCAAGATCAGGTATAACTAAAATGAGATAATTCTCGTCAAAATGTGTTGAGAGCCACAGCCAAAGGGACCCCAGCAAACTTCCAGCTGCCAGCTGATGATTGGCTCACAGCAGCCCCAGCAACATCTAGCTGATTGGCTCCTCTGTGGTGATGTTCATTGGGCTGTTTCCCTGCCCTTCAGACTGCCAGCTGATGATTGGCTCACAGCGGCCCCAGCAACATCTAGCTGATTGGCTCCTCCACGGAGCTGCTCATTGGGGGACTTCTTTGGCTCCGCCCACACAACCCAGCCAATCAGCCTCAAGAGCAGGAGGATTGTGGGAGGTGGAGAGGCTGGTGTGGGGGTGAGAGGCTTGTGGAAGCTGGTGGTGGCAGTTGGGCTCTGAGGGTTTTTTCCTGAGGAGCTGTTTTGTTTGGCGTTTGTAGTTCTAAAAATAAAGTTAGTTTCTTTTGACAAGTGGCTTCTGAATTGTGCCCAGCCAGACTTCTGCAAAAATGGACTATAAGACTTTTATTTTCCTTTGAAAATTAAAAATTATATATATTTAGTCATTGTCCTGGTTAGGACAAGGAATGAACCAGTGAGGTCTTTGTGGATTCTGCTGAGTCTGTAATTTGTTAGGTAGATGGTCCCATGCCATTCCCTAAGAATTTTAGTCAGCTTTTTTTTTTGTCACTGTGAGTAAAATACCCAACAAGAACAATTTTAAAGGAGGAAAAGTTTATTTGGAGACTCATAGTTTCAGAGGTCTCAGTCCATGGACAGCTGGCTTCATTCCTTGAGGCTGGAGGTGAGGCAGGATATCATGGCAGTAGAGTGTGGCAGAGGGAAGCAGCTCACATGATGATCAGAAAGCAGAGAGGCAGAGAGAGAGAGAGAGACTCCACTCACCAGATATGAAAATTATAAGAAAGAAAAAAATCAACCATCATTTTATCACCTAAAATAACAACAATATTGTGAACCTTTTGTATATATCCTATTCTTTTTGTCCATGGATAAACACACATTAAATCGTGGAGACATTTGGGGATGGGGAAATACATAATACTTACTTTTCCTTTCATTCCTCCTATCCAACTTCCCCATCCAATGTGTTTGCCAACTTCCCAAAAGGAAATAAGATCTGCAATCAGTAGAAATCTCAGAACTGAAAATACATAAATTTGGTCAGGCTGGCAAGGACCCAGCTACAGGCAGGGTGAAGGTCAATAAAAGTCAAAGGTATATCTACTCATGAAGCAAGTGTGCGCGCAGAAGGTGTTGACATTCTGGATTCTGGGCGGCTTGCTGCTTACCTGCACTGTTGATTACATTCCTGGTTTTTGGTATTTCCAAAGCAGTTCTCTTTCATGGCTGTGGTTGATTCCCTCTTCCCAGAGGATGTTGGACTATACCCTCTTCCTCAACCCAGCCTGTCTGTGCCCCCTTCCTTTCTTCCTGGCAATCTGCTAGCCAGACAGTACTTTTGTGGTTTGTTCATTCCTTCAAACGTCTTTTGCTGTCACTTGATGTCACTTTCTGCTCTTTTCTGTGTAATTCTGGGTAATTTTAGAAGCAGCTGAAAAAGTTACAATACCATCTGAGAAAGGATGTGGCTCAGAGTTTTCCCTCCGAGACCACATAGGTCAGGGCTGAACTGCAGCCTGAGTATACCACAGGCCCAGCTGGCRAAAGGCTCCAGAGGAGCCCTCTCCCCCCACACTTGAGAGAATTGTAGAATTTCAGCTCTCTCAGATAGTTTTTATTTTCATGCACTTTTTTTTTAATAGAGATTTTCTTCATGTTGGGATGATGATCTTGTGTGTCCATTTTTAGGAACGGGAGTGTACCATGTCATAGTCCTAGGGCTGTGATATACTTACCCAGGATACACTGATGGGTACACTGACCCGCAATACACAGGAAATGACTCTACTCACCGGTAGAATGGGCAACCACCCAATGATAATCAACATTCTCACTCACCTATTCTTCCTGTGGTCCCTATCAAAATTGTCCACCCAACTGCCAGTCATGAAGCCTGGTAGTCTGTCTTCAGAGCCCTGGGGACCAGATTAGTTAAAATTAGGTTTGGCTGTTGGTTGTAGGGAAACAAAATGGCAGAGGATTAAAGATTAAGGATTAAGCTGGAGGCTTTCTATACATTCTGTCATTCAGGAAAGATGGAAATTTCACTTTCTTGCCTTCCGATGAATATCTAGAAGTAGGAAGTACAGAGCTGGCATGGCAGCTCTGCTCCATGAAGTCCTCAGGCACCTCAAATCAGTCTGTCCCAGAATTTCCAACAAGTGTGGCCTCCTTATTGGAGATCAACACGTGGCCCGAGGTGGAATTCCAGCTGTCACCTTCATGTTTTAAGCGGCAGGATGGAGGATGGGGTGGGCAAGCTGCCTCATCAGGGATATTCCTAGAAGATACAACCTGGCACATTTCCCCAGTCCATTGGTCATGTAACTACACCAAGAGAGAGAGGCTTGGGAATGCTTTTTTTTTTTTTTTAATTTATTAACTCACAGAAATGCCATCTTTATCTGAGTGGCCAAATGTCAAGATAGATATTTTATTGTAGAAAAAGAGAGAAAGAGCTATTGCTGGGGAACAACTAGTAGTTTCTGCCGTAAGGACTTGTTGAAATTCCAAGAATCAACTGTTAGAACCCAGAGAGGAACCTCAGTCATTGCTACTCAGTACTTAATGTGGGGATCAGTGCCACTGTAAAAGAATGGGGTGCATGCCCAGGGACAGGTAAAGAGGGCATCCAAGAAGAGGCTGTCTAGAGAACCAGGGGCAGGACCACAGAAATCAGCTTCTTCCTAGTTTGCCCTGGGGMCCCTGTGTATGACAGCACCTTTCTTGGCATCAGGAAAGCTGACTGTGGAAATGCAAACCACGAATTCCACGACACATCCTACAGGTCTGGCTGACGACTACAATTCATGGAGGAGAGAATTGGCATTCTGAGGAACTATTAGGTACCTGGCACTAAGCTGGAGGCTTTCTATAATTCTGTCATTCAATTCTCACATATTCCATTTCCCACAATCATGTCATTTGACAACCGTGGAGGAAACAGGTGCAAGACTTTATTTATTTATTTCTTGCTGGGGATTGGACCCAGGGCCTTATGCATGTGAGGCAAGCACTCTACCAACTGAGCTATATCCCCCAGCCCTCAGGTGCAAGACTTTAAATGACTGATCATATAGCTAATGGGTAGAAGGAGGGTTTAAATTCATTGATTTCTCTTTAAGAACAGAGGTCCAAGGTTCCAGACACACATATTCTTGAAAAATGTATTGACTTTTTATAAATTGAATCATGCAAAAGGCAATAATTTTGGGGGTGGCTACTATTTAAAAGCTGTGAATGTTTTCATAAAACAAAGACTTAGCTACTGAAACAGTGACCCTCCAGATTTTCATATGTCAGGTTGAAATGGATCAAGGAGCTCTTCCACTAATGCGTCTAAATATGGATCATGAGGTTTAATTTTATAAGAACCTGTTATGATTTTGTTAATAATGTTGCAAATGTTTTATGTAATTGAACTAATGCTCATTTTTTTGATAGAATGCAAATATGAAGGAGAATGACCTTTCAGTGGAAAAAAATGAAAATGTGCTAACACGAATAAGTCTCAGTCAATGTGCTGATGGGCCTCTCAAGCAGAAAAAAGAGACAGGGTAAAATTAAACCATAAATCATTTTATTGGTGACTCAAGAAAATGGATTAAAAATTTTAGGAAAAATCGAGTGATTGATTAATATGTCGCTTACATGTTAACTCAAAAATATTTGGAGTTGGAATGAAAGCAAGAATGTTAAAAAGGTCATACAACTAAAGTAATGCTTCACCCTAGGACTCTTTTTAATGAGAGTAATTGCTAAGAGAAATTTCTTTTTATATTTATACCCAGCGTAATTATTTCCGCTCCAGTGCTTTTTTTAAAAGGGAAGCTATTGTGAAATTTCTTTATGTTAAATAAAATGACTTCGATTTGTATGTGAATTGTTGAACTCCTTTGAGATGGAAAAAATTTATTATATTTCTCTTGCTTACTAAAGGTACAACTATGCAATGGCCCTACAAGTGCTGGGCTTGGATGATGAAGCCGAGCTCAGTGATGGGAACCCTGTCTCGATGAAAGGGGCCTACTTGTCCTTTCTGTGTCTTCGCCACCTGCGAATCAGGTCGCTGCAGGTATGTGGATGGCCCAGCACACTGGCTTCAGGTATCAGAAATGTCTGATTGTCTAGAAAGGGGGCTCTCTGCTCTTCAGTAGTAATTCATTTCTATGCTTTTGCTCTTTATTCTTTTATTTATTTATTTTTAACATGAAACCAATCCCTTTCTGAGGCAGTGTGTTCCTTTCTCCACAGTAGGGTTGGCCTGCCACCCCGTCACCTCCTGAAGTTTCACTCTGTAGTGTGGGACAAGGCAAAGGGCAGGGTCTTGATTCTGTTCTTCTCTTTGTTTCAGCGTACCTGCTTGGGAATTCTGAACTATTTCAGATCTGTCGAGCGAACTTTGACAATCAATACTTCAGGCCTTACCTTAGTTTCAGGGAAACTGGTCCCCACCATGGAAGATAGTTCTTGGGTCAATGTGACACGAGGAGGCTTGGGCACCTCACAAGGCCTGGGAACTCACCACTATGTCCATGGGACATCTGCTGAGCACAAGGTGAGGTGCTCTGCTGTGAGTTATTCTTCCTTGACTATCTTGTCTCCCAAGTCAACTTTTTTCTTGCAATTCAAATCAGTTAACACGGTGGAGTAGTGGGGTGTTTCTTAGGCATATGGTTTTTGGTTTTGTTTTTTTAAAAATTGCAGTAAAAGGGAAAATACGTTTCTAACCACAATAAAATACAGTGTCCACTTGAGGGCACGAGCCAGACAGAGAGCACCCTAAGAGCAGCTCTAAGGCCACCATGGAAAGAAAGGTTGAGCTGCTGAATTGTTGATGCATCGTGAACAGAGAGCATATGGTGCTTTATGGGTTTTCCTCKCCTGAGAACCACATGTTCTTACAAGGAAGCTCTTACAAGTTCCCCCTTGACATTGCTAGCGGTACCATTTTGGCCCTTTGCTGTTTTCTAAGCCCTGAATGTAAAAATAGAATTTTATAAAGGGGGGGGAGGGGATAGAGACAAATTAGAAAAACATGAAACAACAAGAAAAAATTTCTATTCTTTCAAAAAGCCTGTTTGCCCTCTGGTGCTTTTGATGTCTCTTGAACATATTTTTCTGTAGCCTCTTTAGAACTTCAATCCTAGAGTCAGGCATGTGAACTCTTGTAATCCACCTTACCCACCCCCACCCTGTACCAAAAACAAAACAAAACATTCTCTTAATCCTTTGCATTGAAAACCATCCCTTAGCTGATCATGGTGGCGCACGCCTGTAATCCCAGCAGCTCAGGAGGCTTGAGGCAGGAGGATTGCAAGTTTGAGATCAGCCTCAGCAACTTAGTGAGGCCCTCAGCAACTTAGCAAGACCCTGTCTCAAAACAAAAATAAAAAGGTCTGGGGATGTGGCTCGGTGTTTAAGTGCTCCTAGATCAATCCCTGGAACAACAACAACAAAAAAAAAAGTGAAATTTCAATCCTAACAAAAGACCCTTTATTCGGAAACAAAGTTGAGCATTTCTATGGTTTGGTGGGCTATTGTAAAGTCTCTTGCAAATTTTCATCTCAAAAGTTTATTCCTAAAGATGGGCTTTAAAATGAATTTAATACTTTTTTTTTTTTTTTTTTTTTAGTGCTGAGGATTGAACCCAGGGCCTTGTGCTCTACCAACTGAGCTCTATCTCTAGCCCATGAAGTTAATACTCTTAAAAGACACTGCTTGACAGTGATTGACAAATATGAAAAATAAAACTTACTTAACTACGAAACAAATCATATTCTAAGCTAATGTGCCTGTCATATCTGTAAGGGTGTGAAACCTTACTGTGAACCGTTGCTCCTATGTGCAGGCTAGATCAGCCTATGCAGAAGCAAAATGCAAGCAACACACAATTTTTAAAATTCCAATAGTCATATTTAAAAACATTCAAAGACACATATGAACTTAAATTTGGGGGGTTGGGTATTGGGGATTGAATCCACGGGCACTCTAACACTAAGCTACATTCTCAGACCTTTTTATTTTGAAACAGGGTCTAAGTTATTTCACTAAGGAATCACTGATGAGATACTACTCCCTTTTTAAATTTTTTTGGTATTGTCTTTAAAATCTGGTTCTATTTAATACAGAAAACCCATTTTGGCTTCAACAAGTAGCATTTCAAGGCTTAATGGTCCCATGTGACTAGGGGTTACGATCTTGAACAGTTAAGCTTTAGATGGTGGGAAGTATTTTTGCCACCCAGTCATTTAGAGTCCTACCTTCCCTTGTATCCAAGACAGCCTTCCATTTTTTATCTTCTTACCTAATAAGCACCCCAAATTCCTATCCCCTACTATACACAGATGTCTCCAATCTCCCCTCACTCCCTCACCCCTTGCCTCTCTGCCCTCCTCTCTTGATCCCAGCTCATCAAGCCCAGTGAGCTCACCCCTCAGTGGAACCAGAGAGCAGGGTTAAGACTTTAAAACAAACCTACAGCCAGGTTGGTGGCACATTCCAGTAATCCCAGCAGCTCAGGAGGCTGAGGCAGAAGGATCATGAGCTCAAAGCCAGCCTCTGCAACTTGGTGCAGCCCTAAGCAACTCACTGAGACCTTGTCTCTAAATAAAATATAAAAAAGGGCTGAGGATGTGGTTCAGTGGTTTAGCACCCCTGGGTGCAATTCCCRAAACAAACCCTTGTAAGACAAACACATCTTTTTCTTACTAATATTATTAATCTTATCACAGCTGTGATATATTATTATGCTAATTGATTTTTAAAAAATTCTTGCCCAAGAGTCCTGTGCCACTTTGTTTATTCTGGGTTGAGGGTGAGGAGTAGAAATAAATGAAAAGGGAGACAAATATTATCCTGCCCCATTGATTGGAAGAATAGTTTCTCGGGTTAATGCAGTATTTCGGTACTATTTTCTCATAAATGGTAGGGATAGCATCATTCCTAAGAGCTACCAGCTGCTATTACTTCAGTGTGAGACACTCAAGACCTGTCAGAGACTTTAATGGAACCATGCGGTTTAGCTACTTGCTGTGGGTGTGGCGTTTATCCAGGCCTGACTGGTGTGATTTTCCCACATAGGGAAAGGGCAGGGCAAATGCTAATCCATTGGGTTGATCTCACTGGCTGAGACAAGGTTGCTGGGAGCAAGACCTCTGAGCTTACCAGATATGAGAGGAGCTCCTAGGATGAAGACCCTTTCCCCAGCCCCTTTCCCTTCATCCAGTGTGCTTGATCCCACAAGGAAAGTTTGGGGCTAATATTAAAGACTGTTCATTCAACAGTAATACAGAAGAAAGAAGGCACATAAAAATCTGTCATGGATATTTTGCTGCTTTATGAGTCTACTTTAAAGGCATGTGGAAGAAAGAGCCCCAAACAAGAGCAGAAAACTCTGGCTGTCTGGCCTTGAGATTGACTCCTCAGGTGTGAGGTCTGACGGTCCATGTGGTGTTCAGGGTCTGCTGGGACTTGTGTGCTGATGGCAGGGGATGTTGAGAGGAAGTGGTGGGAGGTGAGCCTGCACAGAAGAGTGGACCAGACCATGAAGGCCTAGGCTCTCATTAGGATGTGGGACCAATTCCAAGATTGGYAGGGAACAGAGAAGAATTTTTAAATAGGAGACTGTCTCTCCAAATTGCTTTGTAAATTTCTCTGGGATCTTTGCCCAAATGTAATCCCACTTATTTCCTTGCTTGAAATCCTACATGGGTTTCCTGTTTCTCACAAGATAAAGTCCAGGCTTCTTGGTGACATTTACAAGGCTGAGCACAATCTGGCCCCTGTGAACCTCTGAGACCTCATTTCCCTGGGCTGTCCCCAAATTTCCATGTCAATAAGCTGGGCCTGGACTTCCTTGGAAAGGGCAGAACTACTTGCTTCTCTGGACCYCTCCGTCCCTCACTTCCTAACCCTACTGTGACCCAAGAGTTCATTCAAATATCTCCTCTCCAAGGATGCCTTCCTTGCCATCTCTGTGCAGCACTGTTTCTTCCCTGAATCTGCTTCCAGAATAGCATTAAACATATGGCTGGCTTGACTATCAGCTTATCTTCTCCCTCAAGCCGTATGAGTCCATCATTCATCCATCCGTTCCTTGCACAAATATTCTATCTATTAATTGTCCTAGGCACTGGGGATGCAGCAGTGAACATAACTGGTATAAATTCCTGCTATCATGGCACCTTGTGGAGAGAAACAAACAGATTTATAACAGATGCAGAATGTCAGGGGTTTGACACCAAGGCTTGCCCAGACTTCCTAGCCCTTGCAGTTGCATGTGGCCTATGACTAGCTTTGGCCAGTGGGCTGTGAGCAGAAACAGCCTATGTCAGTGTCAGTCCAAAGCACTCGGGAGCTGGTGCATAGCCTCAGGCCCTCTTCTGCTTTAGCCAGTGGAAGGCACAAGTTGAGATGATCAAATCATAAGATGAAAACATCCTGGATCCCTGCATTGCTGCTAGAAGGTGGCAGCCTCGAGTCTCGGTCCTTCAGTGGGTTTGCATGAGTGAGAAATTCATTTTAAGTGTTAGGCTACTGAACTTGGCAGTTGTTTATCACAGAATTGCCTAGACTTTGTGGACAAATAAAGATGGCAATAGCTACTGTGGAGAAAAACTATGTAGAAAAGGAGAGTGGAGACTGGTGGAGGGGGTGATGGGGTGTTGCCATGGTAGCGTGGTCAGGAAAGGCCTTACAGAGAAGGGACTGCCTGAGTTAAGACCTGGAGAATTTCAGGAAGCAACCCACATGACCGTCTGAGAAAAGAGTGCCAGAGAGGAAAACCAGTGTATAGGTCCCAAGGCAGGACTGTGGCCAGCAGGGCTGCAAGAACAAAGAAGTTCAGAGTGACTGGAGTAAGTGAAGGGCAAAGCAGTWAGTGATAAAGCTAGGAAGTGGGGGAAGACTTTCTAGGGCTTTGTGGACCACTGTGTGGAACTTGGCTTTGACTTTGAGTGGGAAGGGGAGTCCTGGGAAAGTTTAAAGCAGAGGAGTGGAAACAGTGATTTTTTTTTTCCTGGGGGGGGGCGGTTACAAGGAATTGAACCCAGGGGTGCTTAGCCACTGAGCCACATCCCCAGCCCTTTTTATTTTTTATTTTGAGATAGGATCTTATTAAGTTACTTAGGGCCTCACTAAGTTGCTGAGCCTGGCTTCAAACTTGTGATCCTTCTGCCTCAGCTTCCCTAGCTCCTGGGATTACAGGTGTGAGCCGTGACACCCGGSCTTGACTTATATTTTAACATTCATGCTGCCGTAGTGGGAACAGCCAGAAGGTACTTAGAGCTGGCACAGAGAGACTAGTTAGGAGCCTATTGCATTAAGCAAACTTGACCATATGCACTGCATAACCACATTTTGATCAATGACCAATTGCAATTCAATGGTATTCCCATAAAATTATAACTATAAGTGGAAAAGGTCCTATTGTCTAGTGACATCACAGTCATTATAATGGCATGGTGCAATACATTATTTATGAGCTTGTGGTGATTTAAATGTGAACAAACCTCTTTTTATATTTTTAGATACACAGATATTCAGCACAGTAACATGGTGTTCAAGTTTAGAGCCTAGGAACAATAAGCTATACCATATAGCAGCAGTCTATACTATCTACGAGTGTGTAGGTACATTCTGTGATGTTCACACAACAACAAAATCACCTAAGGACACATTAGAACACATCCTCATTAGTAACATATGACTATATTTGAAAGGTGCAACTAGCACAATTTCTAAGCAGAGAAGTCAACGCTGATTCCAAGGTTTTGACCCAAGCATTGGAATCACAATCAACAGAGAGGTGATGGAAGCAGATTTTTTGGAAAGATCAGAATCTCAGTTTAGGACATGGAATGTCTGAGGTGCTTGCTGAATGGATCAGCAAAAAGAAATAGAAAGTTGGATATGTATATTTCACGTAGTAGGTATTTAATAAATATTTATTTGACAGAAGAAAGACTCTGCCCCTAACAGAATGGTTGTGAGATTACAGAAGGACCATGTATGAAAGTGCCGTCCAAAAGCAGCACAATTAATTACAGTAACAATATTATATGCTAAAGACTGTGGGGGAGGGGGAGTCAAATAGAAGATAGCTTTGATCATTTTTTTAAAATATTGTAGCAAAATAATTGAGTCATTTATCAAACAATTTTGATTGGATTCTTAGGTTGAACTACTATTAAATTAATACAAGATGATTAAGGAAAAGAAAACTAGTCAGATAAGCATTGTTTACACTGCCAAGAGGCCTACAATACACATTACTGAGTGCTGGCAGTAGTCTCTAGGTTGAAAAGTCAGTGATGGGCCACCAATTTTCCTGTAGTTACTTTTTTTTAAGCAAATAGTAATCTTGGTGTGAGTTAATTTTCAGACTTAAAATCACATATGAATCATTCCAAAGGTCATATTATTTCTTACTCAGATAATTATTGCCCTCCCCTTCCTGCCACTCCTCCAAACATAATATTGAAGGATCAACTCTCCAGACCACAAAACCTTTAGAAGGAGAGTCTTTCACGGGACCATGGAAAAGTTAAAAAGGAAATAAGGAAACATTGTAGTGACTAAGCCATAACCCTGCAGGAAGCAATTTGGCTGTTTGGTCTTCAAAGTGGATCTCCTGTGGACACAAGTGCACTTTTCAAAGACAGGGGATGGGGGAGAAAAAGAGCAAAGGATAGCCCAAAGAGAAAGAATACCGTGTGCCTTTTAAAGGGTCTGAACAATGGAGCCTGGTAAGGAGAGCAGGAAAATGAGGATTTAAATAGACGATAGCATTAGAGTTGGCATCTGGACAATACTATTGCTCTCCATCAGCTTCAGAACTCAATTCAATAGTGATTTCTTTAAAGTTGTACAGTTTCCCCTGTACAAGAATACTGGGAAAGGTCTTCTCCAGAAAAGTGGGTAAAGTATAACATATTAAGTTGTACACCCCCCACCCTCGCACTTTTTTTTTTCCTAAAGGAGAACCCACTTTGCATAATAAAAGACAGGAGCTAATTGCTAATAGGATCCAACATGGTAATTCGTAAACCTAAGAAAACTGTTAATTTTTATATGCAACATCTCATTTTCTTGACTTTTTTTTCTTTTTTCCACTGATATTCAGGTACTAATCAGTTTTGTGAAAATCAGTGATTTAACTTTTTGAATTCTAATCGAAGGGAGCTCCTGATTATATTAAAAAATGACTAAAGAAAAACAAAAAGCAAAGCAAAACAAAAAATCACCACCTGCTAGAGGAATGCTTCACTAAGAAATACCCTCTTGATGAAATAGTACAAATGATAGCTGTTATTTAGAAATGCTCACATTTTTATTTATTGGACAGTTTCTCACTTTCTGCTTCAGTGACTGAGAATCTAGAACTTTACAACACATAAAAACTATTTCTAATTGTAGATCCATAGAACCATATGGATTCAGAGAGAGCCCTTGTCCATTTTTCCGATATCGGAAGTTAACTATCTAAGCCAAGAATAATCTGCCCTGTTTGTGATGTTCCAGAAAGGTTCCTGTATTTGTATAATAGACAACACTATATGTGTAAATCCATTGACAGATCTATGGAAAACCAAAGTATTATTGCTTAAAATGTATTGATTCTTATATTATATCCAACAATTGATTCTTTAGCAAAGTTTTTTATGTCATAAGAATAAATAGGCTTGGGACCAAAAGTTGGGAGAACTGGTTTTATAGTTTAAATGACTCATGAATAACACTTAGAAACTCAAGTTTTTTAAAAAAATATATAAAATGGATACTAAAAAATCCTGAAAAGAGCCAGACATGGAGGTGAGCACCTGTTTTAAGACTCTGTCTCAAAATAATAAAGGTCTGGGGATGAAAAAAAAAAAAAAGGATTGGGGATATAGCTCAGTGAGAGAACTTGCTAACATGTACAAGGCCCTGGCTTAAAGGATCTCTAGTTACACAAAACCAACCAACCAACCAACCAACCCCCTAAAATTAATAAGAATTGACCAGGATGTGGACAAATTAGAAGGTTGTGCACTGTTGGTTAAAATGTGAAATGGTATAACTACTGTGGAAAACAATCTGGAGGTTCTTTAAAAAATTAAAAATAGAATTACAATATGATCCAGAAATTCTACTTCTGGTTATATATTCAAAAGAATTGAAAGCTGGAATTAAAACAGATATTTGTACACCTATATTCATATTCATATTCATATCCTTATTATTTTCTTTMTTTTTCTTTTTCTTTTTTTTTAATTTTTAATATTTATTTTTTAGTTCTCGGCGGACACAACMTCTTTGTTGGTATGTGGTGCTGAGGATGGAACCCGGGCCGCACGCATGCCAGGCGAGYGCGCTACCGCTTGAGCCACATCCCCAGCCCCATATCCTTATTATTTTAATACTGGGAATTGAATACTCAGGAGCACTCAGCCACTGAGTCACATCCCCGGCCCTATTTTGTATTTTATTTAGAGACAGGATCTCACTGAGTTGCTTAGCATCTCACTTTTTGCTGAGGCTGGCTTTGAACTCACGATCCTCCTGCCTCAGCCTCCRAGCTGCTGGGATTATAGGCATGTACCACCACGCCCTSCATAGCAGCATTATTTACAATAGCCAAAAATTGGAAATACTCCAAGTATTCATCAATGAATGAATGAATAAACAATATGTAATATATATACTATGGAATATAATTCAGCTTTAAACAGGAACGAAATTCTAATGTGCTACAACATGAATGAACCTTGAGAACACTGTACTCRGTAAAACAAACCAATCACAAGGATAAATACTGCCAAGTCTATTTATACAAGTGAGATGCTTGAGTAGTCAAATTCATAGAAACAGAGTGGAATGGTGGTTCTCAGAAGAACCCTTACCATGATAACCCTCATAGAGAATGTATGTRTTAGGGTAGAGTGGCATAAAGTCAGAATTTATAAGAATTAAGCCCAGAATTTTTGATTGATTTTTTTTTGACTGATATATTTTTAAAGTACAATCAGAGATCATAAAAATCCTAGACTTGAAGAAACCTATGTGTAAAAATATTTTTAAAATGYGTACATTGATCTACTCTTTTATTTAACAAGTATTGTCTTAAGTGCCTACTATGTGGTAGTCTCTGCTAAAGCAATGGGAATACAATGATAAATGAAAGTAGACACGTTACTTAATCTTGTAGTATTTTATAGTCCAGTGGGTGAGACAAATATTGGCCCCAAATAGCACAAATAAGTGTAAAATATCAATATCAATAAGGCAGGACCATGCTTTCGTGGAAGGCTCTGGAGTTTCCTTCCTTATCTCTTCCAGCTTCTGGTAGTTGCTATCTGTGCTTGCCAATCCTTGGCCCTCCTTGACCTAGGTGTATAGTGCTAATGTCTTCAGGTGGTCATCTCCCCTAAAAGTCTGTCTTCCAAATGTCCCTTGTTTTATAAGGACACTATCTATTGGTATTCCACCCTAATCCAGTATGATCTCATTTTAACTCGACTGTATTTGCAAAGGCTATTTTTCCACATAAGGTCTCATTCACAGGTGGACATGAATTTGGAGGGACACTATTCAACCTAGTATATCACTAAGACATGAGATTGTGCTAATTCATTTAAAAGTTTTTTTTATATAATTAAAACAAAATGTATTAACAGCTGGCATTTATAGATTCCAAGTACCTTGACTGTGTAGTGTCACTACACTATGGTTGTCAACTACTATAGTTGTGGGGGCTAAAATAAGCAGAGTGACTGGCCCAGGGTATGATCCTGGCAGAGCCAGGACCTAAAAGAGGCACTTTGACTTCAGAGATTGTGTGTGTGTGTGTGTGTGTGTGTGTGTGTGTTTTCTCGGAATTGAACCCCAGACCTGGAGCATTCTACCACTTAGCTACATTCCCAGTCCCCGCCTGCCCCCCTTTTTTTAAAATTTGAGATGGGGGTCTCACTAAGTTGCCCAGGCTGATCTTGAACTTGCAATCCTCCTACATTAGCCTCCCAAGTCCCTGTAATTACAGGCATGCAGCACTGCACCCAGCCTCTAGAGACCACTTCTAACACTAGGCTCAAGTGGCTGCCCTTGTCCAGTTGCTCTTAAATTTATCAGAAAAAAAATGAATTAATCAGCTAGTTTCCTGCCTTAGCAACCACCTCTCCCCATAGACATTTGTTGTCCACACATTTTTATCTGCATACAGCTTTTTATACATTCAGAATGTTTGCAGCTCCAGGCTAACAGCCCATGTGTAGGAGTAGAGACCTTCTGGTTGGTCCATTTGGGCTGGCAAAATATAGCTCCCCCTTTTTCCAGGAACTTCTGGGCTTGGCTTTCTTTCCCCAGGTCCACAGTGTTCAGTTCATGGAGTTCTCCGAAGTGGAGTATGAGGATTACTATTACAGCACAGAAGACGGCAGTATCCACACCCGGGACCAGCAAGGGGTGCATATTATGTACGACGAAGCCTTAAGGGATCTGGAGGAACTCCAGACAGAGCTGCTGCTCGTGGCCAGCCATTACATCGAAAAAGAAAAAGGTAAGAAGGCACATTAAAAAAAAAAAATCCACTGCCACGCCAGGCATGGTGGTGCATGCCCATAATCCCAGCAACTTGGGAGACTGAGGTAGGAGGATATCGAGCTCCTAGCCAGCCTCAGCAACTCAGCAAGGYCCTGAGCAACTTAGTGAGAGCCTGTCTCAAAATWAAAAATTAAAAAAAGGGCTGGGGATGATGGCTTTAGTAGTTGAGTCCCTGTGTTCAATCCCTGATAATCAATCAATCAATYAATCAACTGACCAAATAGAATAAATAAATAAAAACACCTAAAGACCCTAATTAATGCTCTCCACCCCAACATATAAACTCATATCTAATGGTGTCTAAGCATTCAGTAAGCACGTACCCCTCCACCTTACACCCAACACATGCCCACTTTAGAAAAGATAGTGTTTCCTGCTCTGTCTCCCTTTCTGATGGAGACTGTGCCTCCTCTTTCAGGGCTAAGTTGTAACTCTTGCTGTTGCTTAGACTCTGTGGCCCAGGGACATTTCAGTGTCACCTACTGGGTGCCCCCAATATGGTGCTGAGACCTGAAGGAAGCAGAATGAAAACAAGTGAAATGAATGCCTTTTTTCCCCTAAGCAACTGACCTTGAGGAAACTGCATTTAGAAGCAGAGACATCCCAGGGTTCCTAACAGGAAACCACCAGGATGCAAGAAGATCTGGCTAGGAAAATGCCAGACACACTCCAGAGGGAGGAATCATTACTCAGGGTGATCAAGTAACCCATAATCTGCATTCTCTCTTCCTTTCCAATTTTAGAAGTAGATGAGGTAAGAGTATTTCTTTTGGAATAATATGATAGCACTAGCATTACATCTGGAAAGAAAGAGCTTAGAGTTTCTAGAYACATTGCAACACCTACAGGGAAATTTAGCAAGGGTTTATGTTATTTTGTAATGTGTGCAGACTGTAATTAAGGATAATTCATGTTCATATAGTTATAAAATGCTGCTTGAAGAATGTTTGACAACTAACTTCTCAGATCCCAGACAGAATCAGTTTAGCAAAGGGTTGAACTCTATGCCCCGTCCTTGTCACAACCATTGGTATCTGAATCATGGGGCGCAGTGATAGCATCATCCAACATTCCAGAGCATTTAATTTCAAYGCTCAGCTTTTAACTTTACAGGCTATCCTATATATTAATGCATCATTTTGTCTATATGAATTTATAATACCATGCAACTGCTGCTAAAAATTTAATTTGATCGAAACACTTAGTCAGTAGTCATTTACCCATGGGTATCTTTCAACTGAGCTTTGAAGTGTATAGTCACCAATTATGAAGTGATTTCCCAACAGGTCTTAGAGAAATTCCTGATCAAAGTCTTTATCTTGCTAAGTACCTATCATATATATACTCGACAACTATTCAATTTAGACTTCAGCACTGAAAATTTCTTACCTTCTAACATTTCTCCTGAATGAGGCCACTTAAAATTTTAAAGCAATAACAATACTGGTAGTGAAAACTAACATCGACATAGTGTAAATATTTTAGCTCAATAATGACAATAATTAACTTTATGGACCTAAGTTAGTAGTTAACATAATTAAGGAATACCTTGAAAATACTCCCTGAAAGTTTTTGATTTAGCTAACATTAATTAACGGGAACAGCACATTAAACTGRATTTGTTAATCACCAAGTCTTTAGAAAAGGATAAATGTATGTTCTGCCTTTAATATATATAACTGAGCATATATATTAAATATGCTCAGTTATATATAATATAAAAATTCATTATCATGAATTTTGTGTTTTTTTTCTATTTCTAAAATTACTCTTTAAAATCAGAAAGTAAAACTCAAAGCTTCTGTCAAATTAGAAGTCAACAAGTCTGACTTCAGGGCCTCATCTTTGCCAATGGTTCTTTAGCTCMTTTTTAAGAATCCCAATGACTAGTTCAGTATGACCAGTTCTGCGAGGCAGCTGGTAATCCAAAAGCGCACTTCTAATAGAAACAGCTTCTTTGAAAGTCCTCGTTCTAATCATTCCCACCCGCTCTCTCAGGTCACAAAGAGGGCAGCAAGTCAAAGAGTGGCCAGGACTGGAGATGGACCCATGCAAGTGTGGACAGATTTGCTGTTCTGTATGACATATGGACATGGGAAGCAGCTCTCCTAGAAAACAAACGTCAGGTATTTTTCCCCAAAATAAAGCATCTGTTAAAAATCATTCTTATAAAACTCAGTTTTTTTTCCCTCCCTCTCTCTTTTCTTCCTTCTTCCCTCCCTTCCTCCTTCCCTTCCTCCTCTCTCCTGTCTCCCTTTTCCTTCTTCTTCTGAACCTACTGGGACTTTTAGTCAAGTTTTCAATAAAGCAAATATTTTTATGTAAATAATCTCAGCGAATTATAAAAATATGGGCAGTAAAATTTTCTTTGGTTCTTTGTCACAAAAATAAAATGTGCAGAATACTATCTTTTTTTTTTTTTTGGTACCAGGGATTGAATTTAGGGGCACTCAACCACTGAGCCACATCCCCAGCCCTTTTGTATTCTATTTAGAGACAGGGTTTCACTGAGTTGCTTAGTGCCTTGATTTTGCTGAGGCTGGCTTTGAACTCACAATCCTCCTGTCTAAGCCTCCCTGAACCTCTGGGATTATAGTCCTGCACCAYTGTGCCAGGCAAGAGCACTTTATCTTAAGGCATAATTTGTTAGAAGCCTTTATAATTTAGGTCTTTCTARTAATATGTATATTTTTAGTGAGAATGAATGATGATTCCTCTAACACTCATTATCTAGTCATAGGGACTAGCTCACTTTGCTAAACACAAGATAAACTAACTGACCCAATCGTGGCCTTTAGAAGTATATGCCACTTGAGGGTGGGTGACTGCCATTGGGCAAGGAGTGCTGAGTGCATTAAGTTCTGGGGTGGAGTTTAAAGCAGTGAAATAGCAAGCTAYTAAACCATTAACCATATCATTAATGGCTCCTATCTCAATAATAAATGGAATACTGAAGATGTTCTGCTCTTCATTTGTGTCCTTAGCTTGAATTAATAGTTCTTTTGATAATCACCAATTGTTAGGAGTTTATCCTTCAAACATTGTTTTTACTCTGCCAGATACTGTTCATGGCATTAAGGACATGTAACAGCGGGGCCCCAATTAGAGGGAGAGATCTATCTTACSTGGTGGCTGTCAGAATGGAGGAAATGCTAGGAAGTCTTCCCAGAAGAATAGACATTTAACCTTATTACTAAATTATGAATAAGATGTTGTCCAGCAGAAGAAAAAATAAAAAAAGATTCTTCAGCAGATGAAACAGCACTTACAATGCCACGGAGTTTTTACGTGGGATTGGCTCATTAGAACTCAAGGTAGAATGCTATGGCACGTTGGCAAACCTTYTAAACATGCTTTGGGTACAGACTGTGAAGAGCCTGAGAGTCATGCCATTTTAAAGTTTAAGGCAAGCATAGTGGCTCACCCCTCTAATCCCAGTGATTTAGGAGGCTGAGACAAGAAGATGGCAAGTTGAGGCCAGCCTAGCAATTTAGCAAGACCCTGTCACAAAATAAAAATAAAAAGGGCTGGGGATGTAGCTCAGTAGTCATGTGCCCCTGGGTTCAATCCCCAGTACAAAAAATAAAATAAAAGTTTATCATAAAAGCAAAGAAGAGCCATCAATGATGAACTTCCAAAGCTGACAGCATGATCATGCTTTGTTCATGACAGGAATAGAAAGTCCTTGGGGGGAAAAAAGTTATTACAATGGTGACCTAAAGAATTAGGAGGAGGTGTGGTACAAGAATTAAAATCAAGAATCAATAAGTGGGATGGACTCAAACTAAAAAGTTTCTTCTCAGGAAAGGAAACAACCAGTGAGGTGAATAGAGAGCCTACATCTTGGGAGCAAATCTTTTCCCCTCACACATCAGATAGAACACTAATCACTAGGGTACATAAAGAACTCAAAAAGCTAAGCACCAAAAAAACAAATAACCCAATCAATAAATGGATCAAGGATCCGAAGAGACACTTCTCAGAAGATGTTGTACAATCAATTAACAAATACATGAAAAAATGTTSTTCATCACTAGTGATTAGAGAAATGCAAATTAAAACTACTCTAAGATTTCATCTCACTCCAGTCAGAATGGCAGCTATTATGTATACAAACAACATTAAGTATTGGCGAGGATGTGGGCAAAAAGTACACTCATACACTGCTGGTGGGACTGCAAATTGTTGCAGCCAATATGGAAAGCAGTATGGAGATTTCTTAGAAAATTGGGAATGGAACCACCGTTTGGCCCAGCTATCCCTCTCCTCGGTCTATACCCAAAGGACTTAAAAACAGCATACTCCAGGGACACAGCCACATCAATGTTTATAGAAGCACAATTTACAATAGCTAAACAGTGGAACCAATATAGAAGCCYTTCAATAGGTGAATGGATTAAAAAATGTGGCATATATACACAATGGAATATTACTCAGCAATAAAAGAGAATAAAATCATGGCATTTGCAAGTAAATGGATGGCCTTGGGGAAGATAATGCTAAGTGAAGTTAGCCAATCCCAAAAAACCAAATGCCGAATGTTTCCTCTGATATAAGGAGGCTGATTCGTAGTGGGTTAGGGAGAGGGAGCATGGGAGGAATAGAGGAACTCTAGATGGGGCAGAGAGGGGTGGGAGGGGAAGGGAGTGGGCATGGGGTTAGAAATGATGGTGGAATGTGATGATCATTACTATCCAAAGAACATGTATGAAGACATGAATTGGTGTGAATATACTATGTATAGAACCAGAGATGTAAAAAAAATCGTGCTCTATATATGTAATAAGAATTGTAATGTATTCTGTTGTCATATATAAATAAAAAATTTTACATAAAAAAAAGAATTAGGAGGAGGCCCTCTACTGAGGATGCAGCAGTGAGAACAGAATGGAGCAGCAGACATGAGAAAACTTTGACGTGGAAATGGCAGAATTTGAAGACTGGGTCTGAGTGAGGAGTAAGGGTGGGTTTTAGGACTTCCTTGGGGTCAGGGAGTAGGYTCTTAACTTAAGCAGGACACAGGAGAAAGGAGGATGGTTTTAAAGGAGAAGATAATATTGAGTAGGACACAAGGCATTTGAGAGGGGTTTGCTAAAACCCAGGTGTGAGTGTTTTGTGGGGAGCCATAGACTAGACTGTTGGTTTTTTTTTCTTTTGTGGTACTGGGGAGCTAACTCAGGGCTTCTCACATGCTAGGCAAGTGCTCTACCACTGAGTTAGAACCCCAGCCCTGTGGGGAGCTATAGGTTTGAAGTTCAATAGCAGTTGTGAGTTGGGGGTGTGAATGTGGCAGTTGAACCCCAGTAATAAACCCCTACAAGCAGGAAAAGCTAGAGTGGTCTGCATGAGTCCCCGAGTAGTACATTCAAGGGGAAATTCATGGAACAAGGAGTAGCCAAATAGATTGGAGAAAAGCAGGGAAGAAATGGTAGAGTGAGAACCAGCAGAACAAAGAGTTTTACTTAGGAGGGGATGGTTGCTGGTGTGGAGCCCAGGGGCCCATTGAGAAAGATGGCACCTCAAAACCAGCAATGAGTCAGCACTCGGGGACTCTTTCGGAAGAGCTATGGGGGTGGAAGCCAGACTGCAGTACACTTTGATGTGGTCTGAAGATAGGGAAGTGGGGTGTTTTCTTTGAATTGTTTTTCTAGTAGAATAGTTCACCATTTCACCTACTCTTTTGCTCTGTTACTTGTGGAGATGAAAGTCACCAGATTTTTATTTTTATTTTATAAACAACTGGCTGGTGCAAGTCTTGAGCCTTGGGGGGAAAAATGTTCTTGTTTTCAAAGATAACACTTTGTTATCTTTGTACGAGTTAGTCTGCAGTCATTAACTGCCAATTAGAACATTATGTTGATCAACTAAGTCAATGAGAAATTTAGATTCATAGGGCAGTAATTAGAAAGGTGGTATTAAATGTAAACAGGACAGAACTCCTAACCTCCCCAAGTGTCTTGGTCTAGGCCTGCATTTTAACTGCCCCACCCCCTTCCTTTGCTCTTCTCTCCCACCTTCCCTTTCTATTCCTTTTGACCTAATTGAAATCAAAGGCAATAGAAGAAGAGAAGGGCAGAGAGGACAGAAAAACAAGCCGTCTCCACACTTTTACCTAAAGTGCATTCTGTGCTAAGCTCTCAGGGCTATTCACTAGTTCTTTCTAGAATAAATGAAACTATTTTAATTTAAAACAATTGTTGAACATATCTCCCTCCTTTCTACCCTGAGAATAAGTTCACCATAGAAACTGAGTTATCTGTGCCAACACTATAAAATATGGCCTCCATGCCAGAGATTCTGTCCAAAAGGGCCCATTTTCAATGGCTAAGCCAGATTTCTATCTTGAATACAATTGGCTCCCCCCAGTACTGATTCCACTGCCAAGTTTCCCCAGCTGTTTTTGATTGTTAAGTATATTGGTGTCACTACTTACGAATTGCTTGAACATATTGGGTTATTTAAAACCCTTAAAATGACCATTTTATGTATGAAGATTCATCATATTAAAACGGGTGTCAATTGAAGTGGATTAAAAGGCACAGAGAAGCCAAACTGCTGCACTAGCTCCTAAGTGATGCTATCTTCTGCTAATTCTCTCSATAGTCCCCCAAAGATACACTCAGAGGATAATTTGAATTAGCATATGCAGCACTTGAAAGATTTTCATGCATTATTCTTTTGAAAAGAAAAAAAAAAGAATTCTGTGATAAGTTGAACCTAGCATTGGTTTTCTGTTTTGGCACTTTCAGTTGACCTAAAACACATTTAAAACTTTTTTTAAAATCTCACAAAGGAAAAAAAAAGTTTGAAATAAAAATAATATAAATGCAGGAAGGGTTCAGTTTATTCATTTTGTCYATTTCTTATTTTTCTCTAATATTTGATGCCTACTATCAGTGTGTACAGCATATTATTTTGCCRGTAAGTTGGCCCTTGACACACACAGGTGACATTTGACAGGCTGGGAAGACTTCTTAGACAAATACCAGCCCAGATTTAAATGGAAATGGGCCAGTTAGCAAACAGATAATAAATAGAACCTATGAGGAAAAAAAAAAATCATGTCCCACCCCTATTGAGAAAAAATTCATACTAAAATTATACAAGGATCCATCTGAGAACTTCTCAAGGCTGTTCAAAATTTGAAGACTTATCAATTTAAACAAMTAAGGCTATCAGATGAGATACTGCAATATTTGGCACATACTTATACTAAAAAAAAGTATTTATTATTTATCTGAAATTCAAATTTGACTGTATATTTTTATTTACTAAATCTGACAACCTTATCAATAGCAATGGCGTGCAATTAGTGTGGGCCTCAGCAAGCTGGTTTCACCAGATTAAAATCACCAGCAAGAGCTTTCCCCACAATTCCTTATGAGCATCTCCTGCCAAATAACCAAACAACTGGGCTCTTTGTCCAAAAACAGGTCAAGGAAGTATCAATACTATTTAAACCAGCTCCTGGGATTGACCTGACCCAGCCAGAAGGGTTCAGGTTAGTCCAGAATGAATTAGACAAGTCATTGTTTCTTTCCTAATCCTCTCCTGGGGCGACTGGGTGACACCCTTCTTACTCCATCAAGTCATTCTCCCTTCATTTCTGTTTTTCCTTCTGCTGTTTAATAATTGAATATTATTCTAGGGTTGATCTGAGGTTCATGGAGCAAGGTCATTTAGGTCGTTACACTGCTTCATTCATTTTTCCCTGAACTCACCTAAAGTCAAGGGGATTATTTTCCTTCATTTTTTTTTCTGTATACTTGTAATATGAGGGTTTCCAGCAAGTGGAGTGCCTTCCATGACCTGGGTTTTTAGTCTCCTTTGGAGCTTTCCTTTTCATATCAAGGCTGATCCAAAGTTCCTTAGATTAATATTTCCCAAAAAAGTATTTCCTAAAAATCAGGCACTAAATAAAGTACCTCAGGCTGTCCCTACTTGAGCCTGGGCACTGAGTCCTCAGACACTGGGCATCTCTTAATAGAGAACGCTTGGATTCCTGGTGGGCTGTTCATTCCAGAATGTTGAACTCCCCAACATGGTGGAGGAAACACTTTCTCCTCTCCCCTCTTATAGTCAGTGCCTGGGCCCTGAAAATCACACTGTGTCTGMACATGGAGGCCTTCTGAAAAAAGAAGTGAAAACTCAAATAAACAGCTGGAGGACTTCTATACCATTTTAACAAGAGCAATGAATTATGAAGATGAAACTAGACAAGAGGCCAGGAGCAGTGGTGCACCCCTGTCATCCAGCAACTAGGGAGGCTGAAGCCTGAGGATCATAAGTTTGAGGCCAGCCTGAGCAACTTAGAAAGACCCTGTCTCAAAATAAAAGAAAATAAAACAAAAACACCAAGGACTGGAGATGTGGCTCAGTAGTAAAGTGCCCCAGGTTCAATCCCCAGTATCAGAAAGGAAGGAAGAGAAGAAAGAAAAAAAGACAGACAGACAGACAGGTAGGCTTCTAGGAGTGGTAAACATTTGGTGAAGGACCTTAGGACACATTGTCTTATTGGAGCTTACAATTATTGCAGAATTATTTTGTTAAATATATAACCTGCCCCCTTTTATTTGTGGAAATCAGGGGAGGAAGGGACAGAAGCAAAAGGTTGAAGTCCACTGGTTCAAAGCATGTGTTCTGACGGGCGTGGTGGTGCATGCTTGTAATCCCAGCAACTYGGGAAGCTGAGTCAGGAGGATGGAAAATTCAAAGCCAGACTCAGCAACTTAATGAAGCCTTAAGCAACTTAGCAAGACCCTGTTTCAAAATAAAAAATAAAAGGTTTTGGGGATGTGGCTCAATGGTTAAGCTTCCCTGAGTTCAATCCCTGGTATCAGAGGGCAAGGGGAGCGTGTGTTCTTTCCCTTTCTTCCCTGACTTGGTTTACAGATTTACTCACTACACCGGCTTGTGTTGATGCTGCATCTGCCCACACCAGGGCCACAGGCTATTCCTATGTTCAAAGCTGTGTCTCTCCTCCTGAGGCCCTGGGACTTGCCAAAGTCCCAGGAGGAGATTCCCCTCTTGCTGGCCCCTAGGGGTCTTCTGCTCTTTCCTGACTGTCCACCTGTTTTTAGCTTCTTGATAGTTACTTTGAAGCCTACCAGCACACGTTGGACCCTGAGGAAAGGTTTGCCTTAGCACAAGCGATGACTGACATTATGCATCGGCGCCCCAAATTTGATCTTGGCCACCCTTACTTCATTAAGGCCTACCAAGAYGAATGCACCTGCCTGAGGCTTCACCTGCAGCTAATAAAGGGCATCCTCAACCATCACGTGAGTAGGGTTTTAAATATTGCATATGAAAAGGGAAGATGGAAAACATGAACCAGAAGATAATGTTTTCCTTTCATTGCTGGTGCAGAATCTGGGCTTTCTAGCACGTTTGTTTGTAAGCTCATTTGCATTGCTGAATTCCGAGCATAACTCAGGTTTTTAATTTTTTTTGTTTTTTGCGATACCAGGGATGAAACCAGCAGCACTCTAACACTAAGCTTCATTCCCAATCCTGCCTTCTTTTTTTTTGCATGGAGGGACCCAGTCTTGCTAAGTTGCTTAAGGCCTCATTAAATTGCCCAGGCTGGCTTCAAACTTTCCATCCTTCTGCCTCAGCCTCCCTAGTCACTGGGATTATAGGCAGATCCAAAATGCCTGGCATAATTAGGGTCTTACAGGGTGGTCTTCAATCCTATTTACTGTTAATTGGGTGCCTCAGTTTTCATGAGATCATAGAGCTTATCAATACAGAAATAACTAATGATACATCTTTTTCAAGACATATAATATGGTGTCTATTTAAAATTTCTGTGACTATTTTTAGGACACCGAAAGATATGATCCCATTGTACATCCTCTAGGGAAAAGCTGGGCATGAAGCAAGCAGGAAACAAAGGGTAGAATTTTTTCCAAATTGTGAAATATTTGACCTAAAGAAGTTTTTCTTTTGCCTCTGAACCATGGTTGCCTGTGCTTTCCTTGGCTTGGACAGAGAGACCAGTATGTCTCATTGCAATGAGTCTTCATAATGTCAGGATGAAAATTAGTCAAATGATAAAGAGACACAAAAGGATGATGTTCTTCTCCTGTGAAGGCTCATAACTCACATCCACAGGAAAGTCTAACTCTTCTCATTGTGGCGATTTACGCTACATTTTAGATGGAACGCCAGCGGGAGTATGTCCAGAGGCTCTGGCGAGATGATCATCCAGATGATCGAAAAAAATTCGGACTTCCCCTTAACATCATTTGTAAGCAACTTATTTCCATCAACAACAGCTGGTAAGTTGGTGTTGTCTTTACMTTTAATGTAGATTAATGAAGGGCATAATGTTAAATCTACTCCTCTAGGAAGCACCTCTCAGGTATTTGAGGAGATGAGAAATATATGTATAAAAGCCACAGAAGCAGAGAAATGCAAATCAAAACCACCCTAAGATACCATCTCACTCCAGTAAGATTGGCAGCCATTATGAAGTCAAACAACAATAAGTGCTGGCGAGGATGTGGGGAAAAGGGTACACTTGTACAT